CAGCGAGGGGACTTCAGCAGTGGGGAAGCCTGAAAACTAGACTTTATGCAGAGCCGGTACAGTGAAACTCAGGTGTTATAGGTGTATGCTGGAGCATTTGGTGAGCGCCCTGGGTTTGAGCTCCAGCACCATGGAAGGCCTTCATGATGGAAGTCTTCTATACTACGTAGCAAGTTTGAGCAATTTTAAAGTCAGTTTGGGCTACAAGAGAGCCTGTCTCTCAAAATAAAAAAATTATAAAAAGGAAAGATCTGTCCAGGATCTTGCTTACTATGCCTTTGCGTACATCTGACACTCGGAAAGAATTGGTTTGTTTGTAGCACTATTTGACAATTTACTAATTTTGTAGGCACTAGCTATTATGTTTATTTCCGTGATACGGATTTTACTCTTTTGCAGGCTTTCCCCGCTGCACTCTGGTTCTCACATGGAGTATTCTGCCAGCCCATCATATGCCTATCTTAGAGCTCTTCAACAGACTCACCCATCTACCTTTAAGATGCATGCTTTTCACCAACTTTTTTTTTGTTTGAACAGGCGGTAAAGCAAGGACATTATCATCTTTAAATTTTCAAAAATCCTTTGACAGTTTCTACGTTTGTATAAAGAATTTTGGTCGTTTTCACTCTCAGTCCCCTCTCTGCAGTTAAACCCTTATCAACAAGCCCCTCCCATTTCCATGTCTTCTTTTCTGTGTGACCCACTGAGTTTAATTAGAGTTTCTTGCTGGAGCGTGGGTAGGAGGTAATTTACTGGTGCATTGGCCACTCATCAGTGAGTACATCACTGGAGAAAATGACACCCTCCTCCCCCATCAACCATTAGCTGTGGATAGTCCCTCAGGGAAGGGTCTGGCCTCTAGGACCCCTCTCCCATCCATGATTAAACGTAGACAGGCCCAATCTTGTGCAGGTTTTGTGTGGATTGTTACAGCTTCAGCGAGTTCACAATCGCAACAGCTATGCCAAGCACAGAAGATGCTTTTTGCTGTACATCTCCCACCCCGTGGCTCTTGAATTCTTTCTGTTCCTGTCCCCTAAATGTTCCCTGAGCCTTCGAGCTGGCGATACAGCTGTCCCTTTTAGGGCTGCGCCCTCCACCATCATTTACTCTCGGCACTTCAGCCTGTTACGGGTTTGTGCAATAACGGCTGCCAGCTGTAACCGGCAGCTTTTCTGACTGCATTGTTGTGCTCTCTACCATTCAAACGGAATTCTTGTATGTTTCTCAGAGAGGAGACCACAGGACAAAAATGCAAATATTTTGTGACCAATCTCATGAGTTTTAAAATTATGATTTAGATGTGAAATATGAGTGAATCATTAACCCTTAAAAATGACATACACTTTTTTTGATACTCATGATCAAACATAGGATTTTGCGCACACACACACACGTTGAGCAAGTGCTTTAAAGCTAACTAACGTACATGTGCTTCCAACGCCAGCATACACTCTTTTTTGTTTGTTGTTGTTTTGTTTTGTTTTTCAAGACAGGGTTTCTCTGTGTAGCCCTGTCTGTCCTCGAACTCACTCTGTAGACCAGGCTGCCCTCAAACTCAGAGAGATCCACCTGCCTCTGCCTCCCACGTGCTGTGATAAAAGGCGTGCACCACCAGTGCCCTGCTGCAACATACACTATTGTTTTATTTTGCTTTTTGGACAATGACTTTCTGCTGTATAGCCTAGGCTGGCCTTATACTGATGATCCTCCAGCCTCTTTTTAATTTTCTTTTTGACATAGGTTCCTCACTATGCCATCCTTGTTGAAGTGGGGCCTGTCAACTCGGTAGGCCAGGCTGGTCTCAGACTCACACTAATCCACCTGCCTCTGCCTCTTCCGCACTGGAATTAAAGGCGTTTATGACCATGAATGGCATCTCAACTGCTTTAAAAACATTTTCTTGTGTGTGTGAAGATAGGAGAACATTTTGGCAGTAGTTCTCTCGACGGACTCAGGTTGTCAGACTTGGTGGCAAGTGTCTTCACTCACTGAACCGTCATCCTCTTGTGTGTTAGGGTTACGGGCATGTATGTGTCCCTATACCTGATCCACACTCTTTAAAATGGTAAAACGCCAGGCCATTGTTTGAAAGCTTCCGAATGACCCCGTGGAACATGAATAGGTACAATAAAGGACACAATAATGGATTTTGGGAAGGGATAACAAAACCCTCAAGTTGATAGTCTAAATTTGTTTTGTGACTCAGCAGTGAGTTCCAGACTGCCTGTACAGTTTTTCCCATAAGACATCAACCTAATGTTAGCTGAAATGACAATAGGAAAGTAGACACCGTGGAAATGATTTCTGGACATAGATGAGCATTCTTTTTATTTAAGGGAAGAAAATCTGAGAGAATACAAAGCTAGGATCCTGTTCTCCTAAGACCAGGTATACTGGGGAGGAGAGGGGTGCAAGCAGACCTGTTGACCAAGGAATTGTGGATGAATTCCTGCTGTGTACAGCTCTATAATGGATTGAAAAGGATATTACAACATTTGGTCTTACTGTTATTGATCATGAACCCTCCCATCACTTGTTACCAGCAGATGGAAGTTTGATTAAATGGGTTGCAAATCTGATGCACAATGACACCTCCCTCTCCTCTTCATAACGCTGGATAGTATCATACTGGAAGAAAAGTTCTGTGCCTCAACCCACAACACAGGGATAGTTGTTATTTTTCCTACATCAATGCACGTAAGGGGAAGTAGAAGTAAAATTGGCTAAAATGTCCCCCCTAAAAACTTTCTGGCATTCAGACTTTAATTTTGGTGACTCACACGTTGAGTCAGTTGTTGATTGCTGCGATACAAAAATGCAGGTGATGGGCTGATTGGCGAGATGACTCAGCTTGCCTTGCAAACCTGCCTGCCGGCAGGAGTTCAAGCCCTGGAACCCGCGATGGAGGAAGAGATACGATTCTCTCAGCTCTCTGACCTGGACTGGGGCTCTGTGACGCACGCCCGAGCTCTGTGCCTCGCACACCTACACATGCCCGCTGACCCTCCATATAATACAGTAAAAATGAGTTCTAAACGCTTTAAACTGCTGGTAATGTTCAAGAGCTTAGTCATTCAAGCAGCTGACCGTACCCCTCCCTCGAATTTTGATGCCAGCATATTTTTCATCTAAGTAGATGGACATCCAAGCCATGCTATTGCTCTTCAGTGTTTTCTATTAAAAGTTTAAAAGGGATTATATGTGATCAGGCTGGCAATCAGTAATAAAAATGACAGATAGTCAAGTAGTTTTTTTTGTTTTTGTTTTTTTTGCACAGAATTAGATTTCTAGCTATATGTGCATGTGTGTTGTTTTTTAAGTCATGGTCTAGCTATGTAGCCCAGGCTGTGGCACATTGCCCAGCTGGCTTGTTGCCGCTACAGGTCCCCCCCCCCCCCCCCAAAGCACCGAGAACTAATATTCTCGGTGAGTAACTGGGGACCGTCACCAAGGTAATAGATAGCCCATCCTATCACCCTCATTTCAAAGACCGGAGAAACTGTTTTTGGCTTTAGAAAAATCCTTAAGAAAAATCATCCCTTTCCTCAGAAAAATCTCTTCAAGTTTATTGTTTGTGTGTGTATGTGTGTGTGTATGTACATACGTATGCGCTGTGTGTGAGCGCGCACAAGCTTGCGCGTTGTTTTCAAGTTAAAACGACACCCGATGTCTGATAATTCCCTTCCTCGTGGGTTTCATTAAACAATGCATTTTACTTATTTGAAACAAGGACAATTTGAACAGCTGCATACATCTTTTGTATGTGAAAGCAATACTGCCACCTGGCCAACAAAATCAAGAGGCCCCGAGTTTCAAGATGCATTCTGATTTCAGAGATGTTGAAGTGGGAAGATTTTAAAAAAAGAAAAAAGTGTGCCTTAGCTGAAGTATAGTTATGTCCGGAGGGCTGGGTTAATGTATGATCGGGTTTCTTCGATAATCCCAGGCTGATTTGTGTAAAACAGTTTCTCTGAAAGAAATTTGTGTTTTTGGTGTTTAACAATCTAGGGACTGGGAGGGTTTTGCCTGGCGTGTGTTGTGTTGAGTGGCTGGGATGAGTTTCCAGAAAGGCAATACCAACAGCTCCTTCTAAAGCCATCAAGATTATTACACAAAACATGGCTACCTAGCCGTGAGCCTTGGTGAGGAGGCCAGTGCAAGAGAATTGAAAGTTTGAGGCCAGCCTTGGCTATTTAGTGGACACCCTGTCTGCAGAAGAAAAGAGAGAGAGAAAAAAAGATTGCTTTCAGAGGCTGTCCCGATTTTAGGTAACGATTATTTTCTTTATCTCATATCATTAGTATATATTCAGTAGTGTGTCTGATTTAGTTTTGTCCCTCGCGACTTAATTGTTTTTGCTCACCACCGCATTTGTAGGAGACAGGGCAGTGAACGTAATTGAGGATAAATAGATATTTGTTAATATTCGTAATCCTTTCTTGTGCAACATAAGGCTTTGAATACCTTGCCTCTTTAAAGGAGCCTAGGTCCTCGCTTTGTTAAAGGGGGCTCAGGATTCATTTTATGCTTGCTCTTTGGCAGCGAAACGCAGGACGAGATAGCAACCTTAAAACAGTGTCTAGCCCTGAGTAAACGGATCTTTGAAAAGCAGCTTTTGGTGGAGGCACCTCACTGCAGACTCCGGGCAACCGAGCGCGCCCGATTAACCCCTTGAACGCCGGTCTCCTCGCCTGCATTCACATGTTGCTTTGCGAGACATTTTTCAACTGGTCATTTGGCCCTCATTTCTCCAAAAGCTGAAGCTTGGCGCCGAGTCCCTGCTCCAGGCTCAGATTCCGGTGGGGGCCGCGTGGGGCGGCGCCTGCAGGAAGTGTGCGCTTTAAGAGCGGGAGGAAGGGGCTCGCGGCGGCGGCGGCGGCGGCGGCGGCGGCGGCGGGGGCTGGCGCGGGGGCCGGGGGCGGCGCCGGGGCCGTGCGTCAGAAGGGGCCCAGTGTTCGCACCTTGGTTGACGTCAGAGCTGCAGTGGGGCTGCGGTGTCTTGACCAGCCCCTTGACAGTCGATAGCCCAGTCGCATCTGGGAGCCCGCGTCGAGCGACACGCGCTCCGCTGAGCTCCTCTCTTCGGCTCCCGGCGGGCGTGGCTGGGGGGGGGTCTGGCGGCTTCGGGACCCTCGCGGCGCGGCGGAACCCAAGCGGCGGGCAGCGCGCTCAGGCCGGCAGCGGCCGGCTGCGGCCCGGAAGGAGTGCAGGCGGCTTCCACGGAGGTGAGTGCCGTGGCTGGGCGGGCCGTGGCGGCGTGCGGGGCCGGGAAACCCGCTTTCTGCCCGGGAGCAGCGTGGACGGCTTGCCCGGGCTCCCGCGCGCGGCGCGACGGAGCGGAGCGGCCCTTCGGCACGCAGCTTCGGGGCGGCTGCGGGGCACAGCGGAGGGAGGAGGTGGGCCTCGGGGGGCAGCAGGGACTCGGGCGGCGGGCGGCGGGCGGCGGGCGGCGGGCGGCGGGCGGGCCGGGCCGCGAGGCAGTCGGGCGCCACCTGTCCACACACCCCCTTCCCCGCGTTGCCCGCGCGCTCGGTCCCCGGCCTTCCCGGGCGCGGAGTTTTTGCAGGAGACCGTCGATGCTGGGGCGTGTGAGTGTGTGCGTGTTAACGATCGTTTTGCTGCCGTCGTGCAACAGTTGTGTGGAGCTGGTCAAAGACGCCATCGTCTTTACTAACTCCCAAGAAGGCCTTTTTCAGGTCCTACGGTTTCTGACGACAGTTCTGGGTAGCTCGTGAAAGAAATGCAAAAGATGCGGGGTCTCAAGGCACTAAAATGGTTTCTGTCCCCAAATGATAGTATTTTTATGTGTATTTGTTTTTACTGCAGTTCTGCGCTCCCAGGGGCGGCGAGGGGCATGTAGAAAGCCCGTGGCAAATCTCACCCACTGGAGAGAGTCCATTAACAATTTCAGATTATCGGTCCCTCCTTTTTGAGAATGTATAAATTCATGTACTTGATTTATATGCGTGTTTTACGTAAGCGGGGGTGTTCATTTTCTGTTCTTTTCACTTAATACATCGAGGACTTTTCTGTATGCTCTGAAACCAAAGCGTAAAAGGCTAGCAAGAAACTCGTTGAAAATTTGATTACGTATCACTGCAGTAGTCAGCCTATTGGCTGGAAGAAAGCTGAAATCAGGGTAGCAACCAGTTTCTATAAAATATTATTTACTCTGCCTAATAATTTGGGGCACTGTTCTTCACACTGCAGTTTTCTACAGGTTAGTCAATTGTTAAATTGATTTAATTATTCATGATTAACATTTAAAAAAATGAATTAAGGTAACATAGAAAGTTCCAGAATGTACATTACTAGGGTATTGTTTTGTGAAACCTTAAAAAAAAAAACTGCGTATGCGTGTGTGTGCGTGCATGTGTGTGTGTGTGTGTGTGCGCGCTCGCGCACACCTCTGCGCGCGCGCGCGCTCTCTCTCTCTCTCAAGCACTGGGTTGTAATATAAAAATGGTATTGCTTCTTATGGTCTCATGCTAAATAAACTTAAAGTCATTAAAGTACTTTAAACACTCAGAATGAGATAAACGATGGAATTAAACTAAATGTTAATTTTATCCTTTCTTCTTTTTGGAGTAGTAGCATTGTGTATTGCACCAAATTTGGTTGTTTATTATTTGTTTTTATCTAACTAATATTAAAACAATGATTTCTAAATTATTCTAAATTATTTCTAAAAAAAAAAATATCAAGAAACGTTTTATAGAACCGAAGCCCCTTTTGCTCAGATTCACCAGCCACCCTGGTTTTGGTGTGAGACCTGGAACAATATCTCTCCTCTTTCTGAACGTCGTTGGTTCGCCTCCTATCTTTTGATAAGATAATGCATATGAAGCTGCTGACAGCATGCCTGGCTCAGATTAAGTGCTCACGGTTAGCTATTATTATTTTATTAGGACCCAATGGAAGTGTCCAGGATGCTTGTCGCCATCGGGAAGCCAGCATAGCATGGATAATCCAAAAGGAAAAAAAAAAGCAAAGGTGAAAAGTAGTTGATAGTGTTATATGAAGGAAGTGACACTAAATTAAAATATGGTCTTTTTAAATATATGGCTTGACCATTGTTATGATTATGATTGTTTCACATATTTCCTACTGCTAGACAGCTAATTTAGATTGTGGGGTTTGTTTGTTTGAAATTTAACTTTTTAATTTATTTTTTTATTTTTGAGACGGGGGTCTCCCTCTGTAGCCCTGGCGGCCCTTGAATTCAGGATCCTCCCGTGTCAGTCTCCCAAATGCAGGGTTATAGGTGTGCACCACCATAAACAGCTCAGATTGTTTTATTTAAAAATCAGATACCCTTCTATTGTCTTTTCTTATTTATTTATTTTTTTATTACGTTGATGTCCTTTGTCAGGCAGTTGGGAAGTATTTCCTATGAGGATTCTGAATTTTGCTAGTTCTCATCACAGTGACACAGCTGGAAGACAGTAGGGCTCCAGACCACGACGGCAGTGCTGCTGGGTTATCTCGTTGTCACCCAGTCCGCATCTGAGATGTGCAAGAGAGGGTTTTTTTGTTTTTTGTTTTTTTGTTTTTTTAATAAAAAAGCAGCAGCAGCATCCCATGCAATTCAGGTATCTGTTCAGTGCCCTAGACTGGTTTATACAATTTTAGATGTTACAAAAACCAATGAATGGAGAGTATAAACATTGTCATTAAAAATAGTATTAGAATTTTTATGAAAAATAGCCTGTTTTGGACTAAAAAAAAAGGCGTTTCTTTCAAAACTATAACTGGGTGTGACATCTGTAAGAGGTTGGGAAAAATGGAAAACAATCAAATCTTGGATTTGAAAATGTATTTAGGCTCTTGTGTTACAGCGGTAAAAGGGAGGCTTACTGGGAGTGAATAACATTGGTCTGTAAAAGAAATATGGCTTGAAGTACAGGTTAATTTGCCCCCCCCAAAAAAAGACAAAAACTCTCTAAACATCGAAGCAAAAAAGAAAAAAAAATCTAACCCAATTTTAAACAAATACATATATTATACGTTTTAAAGTAAAATACTAAGATTATGTATGTATGTGTTTTAAAAATTATTGGCTCACCAGCTACTGGTTTTTATCTTGTTGGATGAGAGGTTTTTGTCTTGCACAAATAAAATGAGGGACTAAGCAGCAATCCAACATTGCATTTTGGAGTTCTACATAATGGCGTGGAAAGGTGCTTCTCCTTACGTGTTTAGAGGAAAGCAGAGGGTGACAGATTGAATGCCCCTTATCAGTCCCTTTCTGTAAAAATGACAAATGGTAAGATAGGGTCGCAGCTTATATTTATATTCTGTATTTACTTGTTTTTTACCATTGTGCAACAGAAATGTCTTGTATTAAAAAGGGTATTTTAAAGTGAAAAATAGCATGTATTTTCCTGTTACACAATTTCTTTAGAACATTAATATACCTCTTGTTAAAAAAAATCCTACTCTAAATTCTTTTTTGGTTGGCTTTTGAATATTGCCATGTCCACACTCACCCTACTTTTTCTGTTTTGCTGCCCCGTCAGTTCTCACATCAAACGTTTGTTTCACAGAACTTACTAATTCAGTCTCTCCAAATGCACTTGACGCCTCTTTGTTTTTATACCTATGTTCGTTCATTTGCTTCTTGGACTATTTTTCCTAACCTTACTGTAAGTAAATTTTACTCATTCCCAAAATTTGGTTAAAAACGATACCTACCTTTATATCCTTAACCACTAGATTTCTCAGTTGATCTTGATAATTTGACCCATTATCACATTTTTATCATTGGCAGTAGTAGTGGATCCGGTCCAAGCCTCTCGCATGCCAGGCAAGAGCTCTAGCACGCCGCCTTACTCTGCCTCATGCGTACTATTTTTACTTCGTCAGTTCTCAGATACCACTTCACACTTCTGCATTGATTTTCCAGTTCCATTTTACACTCCTCGGTGGCAGGAGAGCTTGTGTTCATCCCCTAAAGCTCCCAGGACAGAGTTCTGTACCAGGCAGGTGCCTGACAACATATACTTGCGTAAGAAATGGTTTTATCGGTTCTTTTGAAACTAAATGTTGGAATTTTTCTTTACAAGTGGTCCTGGGTACAGGTTAACACTTGACCCATAATTACAAGGAATTTAAAAGCCTCGATCATTCTGCATAACTGTCTACTGATACAGATGGATGATAAGAAGTGACAATTATTTTTTATTAAAACTAGTATGGTAACAGAATTAGGTACCAGGACCAAACTTACGTTTCACGCGTGTGTTTTCCTTTCAAAATTTCACTAGAAACCTACTTTGGTTTTGGGCAATTTTTGTTTCCCTTAACTTGCTGAAGGCACAAGTGTGCCTTACCTTCTTTTACAGCTGTTGTTCCTGGAGCCCAAAGAGCCAAGTGCATGGGGGCTTGGTGGACCCACAGTCTCTGCTCTGTCTTTTGGGGAGGTGTATGGTAGTATGTAAAGTGCTTTGTGTTCAAAATTTAATATTTTCTCCTGTTACTGGAAATAATTGTGTTACTTTTCAAATACCAGTCTGACTAGGGAGTGTTTGTTCGGTCAACTATAGATGTGAGACTTACTGTCTAAAGAGTTGTTTTATTTTAATTTACAGACGCTTGTCCAGATTGGCGCAGCTGAAGACCTACCTGATCTTGTCTACTCAAGGTAATCCACTTTTCAATTTAAAAAAAAAAAAAACAAGCATTCAATCAACCTGGTTCTAGTAGAATTCAAATCTATATAAAAAGACCTATTGACCCATGCAAAGCAGTATAATTCTAGACCCTGGATATATGATCCTTTTAATAATTAAACTTTTATTAGTTCATAAAAAATGTACTGATGTTCTTGGGTCCATTTAGAATCAGCTTGAATATTTTAATTGTGTAATATATGTGTGTTGTCTTCCTACTTCAAGGGATTGGATCTGGTAAGTTGTAGGTGAGGTCCTGGAATGTTAAATTTAAAAAATGTCAGCACGTGCTTCTGATCTGTTGTAAATCACCGTGGCGTGAAAGGTGATAGAAACGGCAGCTGCTGGAGCCCTGGAGTTCAAGGCTGTAAGCTTTCATATTTGTGTATGTGACGTTACACTCATTTTGCCTTCATTTAGTGAATGTTTTAATTAGATAGTTAAGTGCTTAAAACATTTGTTATTTTATAATTTTCAAAGTTTAGTTTTATGTTCTAGGACTCACTTAGGATAAAAATTGTCTTATCTACAAATATAACTATGAGCTTTGTCCTGTTCTCTGGTTTTCAATTAATAAATCAGGTGAATTAATGGGGGGAAGATCCAGTTTTAAAATTTCACATACATTATTTCAGATGCTGGTTTAATTGATTTGTTTTCACTATAAGTGTGGGAAGTCAGAAAAGCAAAGGGTCTCAGTACAGAGTGATAGGTAAGTGAATATTATGATGAGGTGTTGACTTGATAAAGCTTTTGCTCATTTTATTAGTTTTGAGGTTATAATTTAATTTTTCAACCATTGGTTTTAATAGTTACGCTTTTTACATTGTGGAATAATCTTACTCAGAAGTACAGAGCCAGGCTTGGTGGCACAAGCCTGTAATCTCAGTGCTTGAGACGCTAAGGATTAGGAGTCAAAAGGCAGCCCGGGCAATACATCAAGACTGTTTCCACCTTCTTCCTCTAAATACAGCACATTGAATGATTCTGTTGTATATATTCCAACAGACAAGAATGTTTAAATAATTAGAATTAAACTTTTCAGTTTTAACAAAACAGCAAGTACACTGCGTTGAATTTATTAAAATAGCTGCAACAGTGCGTGTGTGTGTGTGTGTGTGTGTGTGCGCGCGTGCGCGCGCGTGCGCGTGTGTGTTGCCAACAAATTAATTGGCTATGTATGGAGATATCTAGGGAATCAATCTCTCTTTTAGCAGAGTAAATGCATATTTATTTAGAAAAGTAAGAACTCCTGAGAGTGGAAAGGACTTCAAGAGAGGAATACCTTTTTATATTATTTTTGCAAAGCCGTAGGGTTTCATATAGAAGCAAAATACAAGCACAGAAGAGACACACTGTAGGGAGCAGTGTAAGACTTACTCTGAAGCCCCCTTTTAAACAGCATGGCGAATCTTTAAAAATGCTGAATCCTAGGCGCTAACTCACTTCTACTGATTCAGAATTTGGGGAATGATTTTAGCATTCAGCTTGATTTTGAACTTGGATATATTATGGAAGACTTATAGTTTTAGGTGCATAAAAACTAGCAAACCATTTATTGGTCAAGAAATCTCAAAAGTACTACTAATAAAAACTCTCAATTGTTTGTGGTTTATACAGTTAGGAAGTTTTGTGATTCAGAGACCACTTCAGTTGTTCTTTATATTTTTAACAACTCTGATAAATTATAATAGAAGCTTTGAGCTGAGCATAAACTGCCACATGACATCTTTACTCTTACGATAGAGAATTAGATGCTCTCTCTGATAGCACAAGTTCAGATAACCTGGAGTTTTTGTTATAAGAACTCGGGAAAATAGTGTTTCAGAAGGGTGTAGTAAGTATATTATAGTAATATGGTCTTTAGAAATCTAGTGCTGTATTATTTCATCTGGAATAATTTTCTGGTAACTCAGAACTATAGAAAATGGATAAGAACCTTCATGGTCTTCAGATAACTGCAGCAAACTGCTCTTTCCAGTGATGCATATTGACTCAGTAGCTGATGTCTGCTTTGTATTATTCTCCTCATCAATAGAAACAGGACAGGTGGAAGTTAGGCATGATGGTGCATGCTTATTATTCCTGTGCTCACGAAGTTGAGGCAGAAGGATTGCGATTTTCAGGCTAGTTTTGGATTACATAGTGAATTCTAGGTCAGCTTAAGGTATATAGTGACCTTCTGCCTCAAAAAACAAACAGGAATGATTTTGAGCTATTTTCCTAATAGTAATAAAGAATTATTGTTTATTATTATTATTATTATTTTTTTATTGCTTCTTTTCTCTTCCTTTGTAGTCTGACCATTTGAGCTCAGCCAGTAGCCTCCTGACTGACTAGTTAAGATGCAGAAAAGACAAGGGTACTGCAGCTATTGCCGTGTGCAGTATCCTAACCTGGAACAGGTGAGAGGTCCCCCACACGATCACACTTAGCACCTTAGATACGAGTTTCTCCTTTCCATTTGATTAGATTGGCTCATTCATTCCCTGAATGGATTTTGTTGAGAATCTGCTGGTTTGCAGATACTGTTTAAGAGTACAAGACTATGATCACGAACAAAAACAAATTTTTTTCATAGAGTTTACAGTATAGTTTAGTAAGAAAATAAGTAATCATATACTTTTAATAAGAAGGTAAACGAGAGAGTGCTGGTTAAGTAGAATGGCCAGATAAGGCTTTTTTTTTTTTTTTTTTTTTTTTTTTAAAGTGACATTTGAATTGGCATTTGAAAGAAGTTCAGTGCCAGGTTTGCATACATATGGAGGAAGAGTTCAGGCAGAGGAAATACCCTGAAGGAGAAGAGTATTATGCTGACCGGAGTCAAGAGGCCAGTATGACTGCAGTGGAAGCTGGACCATAGGTGCCAGGTACCAGGTGAAAAAGGAAGGGTGAGAGAGTCTGTAAAACTCAGTAGGTTCCTGGGCACGGGGCTGCCCGCCTTTAATCCCAGCACAGAGCGGTAGAGGCAGGTATACAGTGAGACCCTGTCTCAGGAAATGTGCAGCCATCCTTGTAGGTTAAGGGGAGAGCAGTAGAGGCAGGTATACAGTGAGACCCTGTCTCAGGAAATGTGCAGCCATCCTTGTAGGTTAAGGGGAGAGCATTGACTTTTATTTATGCCACTGAGGTTGGTGGCCGTCATAGCACTATGAAAAGGGTAACTGTATTACCGAACTCATATTTTAGAAGGATCATTCTGGATGCTGATGAGAGCGTTGGTATGGGGGTTCTTTCCTATTTATTTTGTTGGAATGTAATTCTTTCATTATAAACTTCCCCCCTTAAAGTGAAATTCAGTGACCTTTAGTGTATACACAAAGTGTTATATTGTCTAATTTTCATCTTTAAAAGGAAACCACATACCTACCGAACAGTACCCTTGGATCTCTAACCTCTAGCAACCACTAATCTACTTTCTGTTTCAAAATATTTGACTATCCTGGATATTTCCTCAAAATGGAAGCGTGTGCTTGTGACTTTTGTGCCCGACTTTCCATTTAGCCTAATATATTCAAGGTTCATTCATATCATCGCATGTATTACTACCTCATTATGGCTGAATAATATTCCATTATAAAAGTAATATCACATTTTATTTATTCATTCAACAATTGATGGATGCTTAGGTTGTTTTTACTTTTTTTGGCTACCATGAATATTGTTGCTATGGATATTTGTGTATAATTTTTTTTGTGTGAACATACATTTTCAGTTCTCTTGGGTATATATGTAGGAGTGGAATTGTTGGGTCATATGATAACTTTTTTTTTTGAGGAACTGCCTCACTGTTTTCCAAAGTGGCTCTAGTATTTTATGTTACCTCCAGCAATGCATGAGGGTTCCAGTTTCTCCTCATCCTTGCCAGCACCTATCTCTCTTTTTTTTTTTAATTATCGTCATTTTGTAGATGTGAAGTGATATCTCATTGTGACTTTGATTTGCATTCACCAGTGTCATTAAGCATCTTTTCGTGTGCTTATTGGCTGTTTGTGTCCATGCTTTGGACAAATGCCTATTCAGATCCTATGTCCATGTTTTGGTCCATTTTGTCTTTTTTAACGATGAGTTTTAAGCCTTTCTTCTGGCTAGCAGACCTTTATGAAACAGTGTGACTGTAACACTTTGTCCTACTCTGTGGCTTGTCTTTCCACATTGTTGACGGCATGCTTTGATGCGCAAACATTTTAAATTTTGCTAGGTGTGGTAATGCTTGCCTGCAGTCCCACAATTTAGGAGGCGAAAGCAGGAATATTACAAGTTCCAGGCTAGTTTGGACTACATAGTGAGACCTGTTTCTCCTCTACACCCCCAAACAATTTCAATTTGTTTATGATCTCTTTTCAACATTAAAGACAGTTCTTATGTGCAGTCCAGGCTGGTCTCAGGCTTGAGGAGTCTTCTTCTTTCACCTCAGTGCTTTTCTTTGTGTTGTCTTTGATGAAAGATTGCCCAGCCCAACATCATGAAGATTTATGCCTATATTTTCCTCTAAGAGTTTCACAGTTGCTCTTATAATTAGGTCTTCTGTTCAATTTGAATTAATTTTTATATAGATGAGGGATGGAATCTAGTTTCATTCTTTGGCTTGTGATATCCAGTAATCATTACACTCTCTGTTGGAAAGAGCAGTCTTTCCTGTTCACTTGTCACATCTGTTGAAAAATCAACTACTTCAAATTGTAAGAGTTTATTTCCTTGTTCTCAGTTCTGTTCTATTGGTCTACATATGCATCGTAATGCTAGTACTGTAGTCTTTTAAAAAAAACATTTTAAACTGGCATATAGTAATTGTATGTATTTATCAGATAATTGTGTGATATTTCAGCACATGTATACAATATGTAATGATCAGATCATGATAATTGGCCTGTCATCTCAGACATTTATTATTTCTTTGTACTAGGAACATCTCTCTGTTCTTTTGAAATAGACAGTTAATGTATATCATTATATGATAAAGTAAACCATAGTTACTATTCCTGTTCTGTAGAACATTAGAAGTCATTCCACTTATTCACCTGTCCTTCATCCCCATTAACCCTCCTCTTCCCATCCTTCTGTCCTTGTCAAGCTTGGGTGACCACTCTATCCACCCATCTGTCTGTGGACACCTGTAGTGATTCCTTTTTTGGCCATTGTGAATATTCTAGAGTAAACGGAAGAATGCCGATGTTGCCTTGGCATACAGATTTTATTTCTTCTAGCTATGCATCAGTAGTGGGATTTTCTATTATAAGAGGTTCTGTGTTTAGTTTTCCAGGGAACCTCTGTCCTGTTTTCTGTAATGGTTCTACGTTTAACATTAGTCTTATAGTATTGCTCCTCCTCTGCCACATCCCATTAGAACTTGCCATTTTAAAAATCTTTTTCTTAGTAGCCCTTCTTACAGGATTGAGAAGATAGTTTATTGTCTTGATTTATAGTTACTTGATGATTAATGATATCTAACTTTTTCGTATATTAGTTTGCTGTTTGTATATTGTATATTATTTTTTAAATGTGTCTATACACAGGATATTTGCCCATTTTCAAAATAAATTATATTTTGCTGTTGAGTTGTTTGAGTCCCTTATATATTCTAGAATGAATCCTTTGGGTGGCTAGATATGGTGGCTCGTGCCTTCTCAGCAGTTAGGAAGTGTAGAAGCAAGAGTATCAGGAGATGAAGGCTAGCCTTAACTACATAATGAGTTTGCGACAAGGCAGAGATACATGAGATCATATCTCAAAAAAACCACTGCCACCACCAAAAACCAATAGTAAAGTAAGAATCGTTGGCTGGTGAAGTAGCTTGATGGAACACCTGCCACACAAACTTAAGGACTGAGTTTGAATCTCTAGAACACTGTAGAGCAAGTCATGGCAGTGTGCTTCTGTACTTGGAGCCAATCTGTGCCAAGACAGGAGGAGGCAAGGCAAAGAATGATGTGTGGCAGTGAACAAGTACTGGGCAGAGACCCTGACTTCAAACAAGGTAGAAGGAGAGAGCTGGCACCTGAGGTTGTCCTCTGACTTCCATATGTGCACCATGGCATGTTCATGCCTCTTGTGTTTTCTTCCAGTAGTTTCATAGTTTTGGGTCTTAACACTTACGAGGAGTGTGTCTTAGTTATTGTTCCATTGCTGGGAAGACACACCATAACCAAAGCAGCTCTTCATTTTATTTACTTATTATTTATTTATTCATTCATTCATTCATGCATGCATTCATTCATTTATTTATTTTTGTTTTTTTGAGACAGGGTTTCTGTGTGTAGTTTTGGTGCCTCTCCTGGATCTCACTTTGTAGACCAGACTGGCCTTGAACTCACAGAGATACACCTGGCTCTGCCTCCCAAGTGCTGGGATTAAAGGCGAGTGCCACCACCGCCCAGCCTCAAAGCAACTCTTTTTTTTTTTTAAAGATTTATTTATTTATTATGTACACAATGTTCTGCCTGCATGTATGCCTGCAGGCCAGAAAATGGCACCAGATCTCATTACAGATGGTTGTGAGCCACCATGTGGGTGCTGGGAATTGAACTCAGGACCTCTGGAAGAACAGCCAGTGCTGTTATCTTCTGAGCCACCTCTCCAGCCCAGTTTCACTCTCTTCACATTTTGTGACTTTCGTTGTAGAGATCACTTATGTCTTTGGTTACTTCATCCGTCGGTGGTAGTATTATTATTACTACTGTTGGTAGTATTATTATTATTACTACTGTTGGTAGCTTTCTTGGTAAACTTTTAACAATGTGTAGAACAGCTGCTTTTTGCATGTTTTTGTATCCTGCACTTTTATTGAATTTGTTTTTCAGTTTTAAAATATTTTAATGGGGTCTAGTTTGTTTGTTTTTTTCTTTCCTAGTCAGTAAAATTATGTCATTTGGGGCTGAAGAGATGGCTCAGTAGGTGAGTGATTGCTGCTCTTGTGGAGGACCTGGTTTTGGTTCTCAGTACCTACATGGCTGTAACTTCAGTTTCAGGGGGTCTGACACTCTTTTCTGGTCTCCATGTGTACCAGGCATGCATGTGGTGCACACACATACATGCAGGCAAAACACCTATACACCTATAAATAAATCTTTTTATTTTTTTAAAGATTGCCATCTACAAATGAATAATTTAACACATGTGCATGTAGGTAACTTTTAGTCTGTTTCTGCTGTTTGCTATTTATTTCCTCTTACTGCTATGAGTTTGGTGTGTTCTTAATTCTTTTTTGTTTGTTTTAGATTTATTTATTTTATATATATGAGTGCTCTATCTGCATATATGACTTTATGCCAGAAGAGAGCATCAGATCCCATAAGAGATGGTTGTAAGCCTCCACGTGCTTGCTGGGAATTGAACTCATGACCTCTGGAAGAGCAGCCAGTGCTCTTAACAGCTGAGCCATCTCTCCAGCCCATGTTCTTGATTCTTTTAGGTTGTTGATTTGTGGTGGTATTTAAACATTTTTTTAAATGTGAGCTGTAATGCATTATAAACTTTCATCTGTATTGCTTTTGCTTCATCCCATAGGCTGTAGTGTGCTATTCCAATTTCAGTTTGTTTTAAGACATTTAAAATTTTCTTTTGATTTCTTCTTTGACCCATGAACATCTTTAATTTCCATGTCCTTGTGTAGTTTCTGAAGATACTCTTTATTGCTAGTTTTATTCAATTCTGATCAGATACATGTGCTGATTTTATTTTTTTTAAAATTTGTTGAGAATGTCCCACATGTTGATAATGAGAATAATGCTTTTCTGTGGGTGTTGGATGAACTGTTTTGTAAATGTCTGTCTGGACCCTTTGGTCTGTAATATATAAACAGTTTCTTTATATAATATATAAAGAAAAATATTATGTAATATATAATCATATAATCATAAAAAATATATTATGTAATATATAATCAGCTTCTTTATAGTTTTTGTGTAGATGGTCTTTCCACTGATGGAAGTGGGATTTTGAGTTCCCATTACTGTACCAGAATCTCCTTTTAGATCTAATATTTAGAGCTAATTATATACTATATATAATTTTTAGGTGGTTTATTTGTGGTGGCATTTATTTTAAACATACATATATATATACTATATATAGTATATATATATATTATTTCCTTTTATTGAGTTGAATTTTTTGTCATTATGTCTTGTTTCCCCAGTTTTTGACTCCAAGTCTATTGATACTGATACAAATATGGGTACTCCTGCCTGGTTTTGTTTACATGGTCTGTCTTTTTTTCTGTCCCTCACCTCTAGGAAGTGTTGTCACTTTACTGATGAAATAAGTTTCTTAGAGCAACATAACATTGAGTCTTTTTTGAAAAATTCCTATTGAGCCAGTCTACATCCTTTCTTTTGAGAATTGGATGTTGTTCAAGCTTGTTATTGACAAGTAATGATACACTCTTGTTATATTTTTAATGTTTTTTCCTAATTTTTGGTATATGTTTTGTTCCCTACTCATTTTTGTGGTTTGATGATCTTCTGTATGATTCTTCTCTTGTATATCTGAACAACTGTTGAGTTTTATATTTGCATATTTTATGATGCTAGTGGTCTTTACTTTTAGTGTAGAACTCTAACAGACATTTCTTTTAGGGATGGATGGACTGATGGTGGGGAATTACTGCAGTTTTTGTGTTTTGGAAAGACTATATTTCTCAAGGATAGCTTTGCTGGGTATAGTACTGGTTGGATTTTTTGTTTGTTTGTTTGTTTTCTTTTTTTTATTTGAATATTTTTCATCCTATAAGGTTTCTGCTGACAAATTTTCTTAGTCTAGTGGTAATTACCTTTTATGTGATTTGATGCTTTTCTGTTGCTATCTTTAGAATTCTCTTATTTTTAGCAACTTGACAGTGATGACTGGGAGCTATTTGTCATCTTTCTGTACCATAACAAAATACTTGAGATAGTCGACTTACATAGAGAAGTTTGGTTTGGGTTCTCAGTTTGGAGACACTTTAGTCTGTAATTGATAGGTTCTATTACTGTGGGCTTGTGGTGACACAACACAGCTTGGCATGGAGTGTAGTGACACAAGCTGTGGAGTGGGAAAAACAGACAAAACAACGGGACTCCTAAATGTTCACTGGAGGCATTTTCTGAGTGACCTAAAACCTCCGGTTTAGACCCCCACCTTTTAAGGGTTCTGATAGTATCAAACTAAAGACTAACCTTTCAGTATGTGAGTCTTTGAAAAGCATTCAAGATCTCATCTTGTAGTACATACAACCTTTTTTGGGTCAAGTTTCAGAGGTCCTTTGATCAGCCATATCTTTGCTAAGATAGACAGTTTTAGTCTGTTAGGTTGAATAGGTTTTCTGTCTTTTTTAGAACACAGATATACCACCATTTCCCCATTTCATCGTCCCCACTAAACACCATAGGCTTTCTCTGTTCTTCAGTTTTTTTTCCCTAAGGTTGGGTTCTTCAGAAAGGCAGGCAGATTCTGATAGGGATTGTGTTGCTTCTGCAGAGGAATTTGTGGAGTATCCATCTTAGCACTGAGCCTTCCAATTTGTGAGCAGGGAGAATGTATTTCCATTGTATACAGCTTCTTAAAAACCTTTCAACCTCATCTTGTGCTTTTCAGGGTACAGTTAAATTTATTCATTAATATTGTTGATGCTATTGTTTTGGTAAATATACTTTTGTTTATCTCTAGTGTATAGAACTATAATTACTTTTTAAAATATTGCTCTTACATCATGCAACTTTGTAGAACTTACTAGTTCTAATTTTTTTGGTGAGTCCTTAAGACTTTTTGTGTATAAGATTCTTCCATGTACAAAGTCATCACACTAGTTTTTTAATCTGGATCCTCTTTTTCTTTCCTTGAACCTCTCTAATTTAGTAAGTATCTAGTAGAAGTGGCGAGAATAGATATCTCTTGTCTCTCTTGATCTTAGGGAGAAAGCTTTCATCCTGTCAATATTAAATATGATACATAGTGTGGTTTTATATAGAAGACCTTGTTAGATTTAGGAAATGATCTTCTGTTCCCAGTTTATTTCCTAGTTTATTGAATGTTTCCTTATGAAAGAGTGCAGGATTTGTCACATGCATATATGTTATATAAGTGTAGTAGCTCAGGCTGCCATAATAAAACATGGTAGTACTAGCTGGCTTAAGCAACTTGAGTTTTTTTCTTACTGTTCTAAAGGCTAGGAAGTCCAAGAGTAAGATACTAGCTGACTTATTTATCTACTTTCCTAGCTTGTACATGGCTGCCTTCTCAATGTGTCTTCCCTTGTGCAGGGAGGATAATCTCTCTTCCTCTTATAAGGTCAACAATCAATGCTGTATTAGAACTTCATCCTTTTGGTGTCATTTAATCCTAATTCCTTAAATTGTATCTAGATTTAGTCATATTAGGGTTTTGGTTAGTTGTGGGTCAGTGTGTAGCACAGACTGGTTTTTTGGATGTTACCCTACTCTTAACATTCCTGGATAGATCTTACTTGGTTAGGGCATACAGTTAGTTCTCTTTTGATGTTGCTGGATTTTGTTTGTTAATAATTTTTAAGGATTTTTACATATATATTTGTAAGGAGTATTGGTGTGTGACTTTCTTGTGGTGTCTTTTGTGTCATTTTGGTATTAGGGTACTAACAGTTTCATAGACTGAAGTGAATAGTGTGCCCTTCTGTTTTTGTTGAAAGAATTTCACTGACTGTTGTGTATGTTTTGACACAAGTACTCATGGTAGTAGTAGCTACCGTTTTCTGACCAGGGTTGTTCATTTAGAAGTGTCTCAAGTTTTTCTTCCCGATCTAAGCTGTAACTTTGTGTATGTGAAACAGTTTATAAGGATGTTCTGGTTTTATAAATGCTGACTTGTTTTTATCTTAGATGATATCTAAGATAACTGTATAATATGTGGTGGCATTTGTCTTCTTTATCTAATAGAAATCAATTAATTTCATAGTAAAAAGTTTTTTGTTGTGATTTTTTTTAACCCCTCTACTCTTTTAAATTTTTTTTTAATGCTGGTCATAAACATGAGGCAGAAAATAAATGAAGTCTCTTTATCTTTCTCTTATGAATGATGAATTGTTTCATTACATGACTGGACTTGTTGAACCTTTGGCAGTTTTCAAACATTACTTCTTTAACTACAGGTTCTATTCAATAAAGATTTGATGCCTTTTTTTTTTTTGCCTAACATTTAAAGTATTTTTTATTCATTTGGACACTCTTGCACTAAATTGGAACTTAAAAACACTCTGTTGTTGACAGCCAGGATAATTTGTATTAACTTTGAAAGCTTGGAAAAAATATATATATGTGTGTGTATATATGCATATATATGTATAGACACACATATATATATTTCAAGGCTTTGGAAAACTACTAAGGCAGTGAAGAAATATGGGGCCAAGACCTAGTGGAGTATTCGATAGAAAACAATGGGAGCCAAAAGAAAAAAAACAACCGCCAACCTAGAATTCTCTACTCAATAAGTATAACTTTTAAACATAAGGTAAAATAAAAATATTTTCAGGAAACAAAAATTAAGGGAATTTGTCACCAGCAGACTCTCACTAAAGGAAAAACTAAAAGGAGTTCTTCAGGCAGAAGGAAAATGATTCCAGATGGAAGCTCAGAGCTATCAGGAAGTAATGAAGAACAATGGACAGGTAAATATGTAGGCAATCAATAAATCATGTTTGTGGGATTAAGAGCGATGTAGGTTGGGAGGGTAGTAAGTGGAGTTAATTTCTAAGGATCTTACATGGTTTAAGGAGAGAATAAGGTAGTTAGTAATTGTAGACTTTGATAGTTTAGACTTGTCATTTGTCCCTACTAGTAGACTGTGAAGAGAGTCTGTAACTACCGAGCTAACAAAATGGGGAAATTAGAATAATGAAGAGGAAGAAAGAAGAGAGAAAATACCCATAAGAATAATAAATAACAGACTGCCAAGTATGCCTAAGTGAAAATAGACTTACTGCTTCAATTAAAATATATTCAGTGACTAGAGTGTGTGCGCGTGTCTCCTGCTGTGGTAGAGCACTTGCCTGCTCTAGATGACAGCAACTCGAAGGAAAAACTAGAGCTCTGTTTAATTCTTTATGGGAGACCTTAGTCACAGAAGTAAGAAAGGAAAAGATAAAAATGACTAAATGATCAAGATAATTGGGTAAGAAGCTAAAAAGCAGTTAGTTGTCATAACATGATGATGGACTAGAAAACAAAAAATAGATAAACTATTAGAATTAATGAGTTTAAAAGCTTGTTGGAGCTGGATGTGGTAGTGCATGCCTGTGGTCCTAACTTCTGGAGAGCTGAAGTAGGAGGATCATTTGAGTCTTTCTGTGCATTTGGCATCAGCCTGGGCACCATGGGGGAGCCTTTGGCTAAAAAACAAACCAAAAAACCAAGGTGGTTGGAACAACAGAAAAAGTCATATTCATATATGCAGATACTCTGAAGAAAATGAGATCTAAAGATAGCATTTACAGTAACATCCATGAAAATAAAATTCTGAGGAATAATTATAACATATGTATAAAATCTTTACATACAGTCTGTAAACACTGAAGGCTGAGGATTTAGCTCAGTGATAGCATGCCTGCTTTAGCATGCTTTAGGCTAGGTTTAATCCCCAGCACTGGGCAGGAGAGGGACGTAATATTTTCATGGATTGAAAGAGTTAATATTAAAAATGTCCAATTTCCCCAAATTATTGTACTTATCCAATGAAATTACAGTGAAAATCACATAAATTAATGAAAATTAAGCCAATATAAATATGGAAATGAAAAAGATGAGTACTAGAATTAAAGAAGATCTGAGTGAGATGGTGTATAGTAGCAGCGAACCATTCTTTCTCCCCTTTACTCATTAGACAAGGCAGTCTTGGTGCAAAGGTAGAAAGAGCATAGAGGCAGAGTCCAGAGATGGAGGAGTGTGTGGAATGGATCGGGGGCAAAGGCGACGCTGCAGAGCAGCCGGGAACAAGACTTGCTGCAGGTAGATGCTGATGTGCCTGCTGAGTAACTAGTTGGGAAAAAAATGAAAGTGTTGTTGAATCATCTTGTGTGTAAAAATCATCCCAAATGAATTATAGATGTGAATGTTGGAAGCAACATAATAAAGGAACTAATAACAGACTGGAGAAACACTTTATAACTTGTGAGGAAGAGCTTTCTGTTAACAAAATACATTGAAAGAAAATTAAAGTGGCTGCAATAAAATTAAGAAGGTGGTAGATGGTTAAAAAAGTGAGAAGACAAGACCAGGTACAGGAAGGCAGTGAGAAGACCAGGTACAGAAAGGAAGTGAGAAGACCAGACCAGCTACAGGAAGGAAGTGAGAAGACCAGACCAGCCACAGAAAGGAAGTGAGAAGACCAGACCAGCTACAGAAAGGAAGTGAGAAGACAAGACCAGCTACAGGAAGGAAGTGAGAAGACCAGACCAGCTACAGAAAGGAAGTGAGAAGACAAGACCAGCTACAGGAAGGAAGTGAGAAGACCAGACCAACTACAGAAAGGAAGTGAGAAGACCAGCTACAGAAAGAAAGTGAGAAGACAAGAGCAGCTACAGGAAGGAAGTGAGAAGACCAGACCAGCTACAGGAAGGAAGTAAGAAGACAAGACCAGCTACAGGAAGGAAGTGAAAAGACCAGACCAGCTACAGAAAGGAAGTGAGAAGACAAGGCCAGCTACAGGAAGGAAGTGAAAAGACAAGACCAGCTACAGGAAGGAAGTGAGAAGACGAGCTACAGGAAGGAAGTGAGAAGACCAGACCAGCTACAGGAAGGAAGTGAGAAGACAAGACCAGCTACAGGAAGGAAGTGAGAAGACAAGACCAGCTACAGGAAGGAAGTGAAAAGACCAGCTACAGAAAGGAAGTGAGAAGACAAGACCAGCTACAGGAAGGAAGTGAGAAGACCAGACCAACTACAGAAAGGAAGTGAGAAGACAAGACCAGCTACAGAAAGGAAGTGAGAAGACAAGACCAGCTACAGGAAGGAAGTGAGAAGACCAGACCAGCTACAGAAAGGAAGTGAGAAGACAAGACCAGCTACAGGAAGGAAGTGAGAAGACCAGACCAACTACAGAAAGGAAGTGAGAAGACAAGACCAGCTACAGAAAGGAAGTGAGAAGACAAGACCAGCTACAGGAAGGAAGTGAGAAGACAAGACCAGCTACAGGAAGGAAGTGAGAAGACCAGACCAGCTACAGAAAGGAAGTGAGAAGACAAGACCAGCTACAGGAAGGAAGTGAGAAGACCAGACCAACTATAGAAAGGAAGTGAGACAATAAGACCGGCTACAGAAAGGAAGATGATACTTGAAAGAAGAGATTGTGTCCAGAATAAATAAATTCTACAAGTTAATAGAGAAGACATCTATTTGAAAAACAGGAAGAGGAGCTGGCATGGTGGCATTTGCTTGTAACCCAACATTTTGGAGACAAGGATACTGAATTCAAGGCTAACCTGAGCTACGTAATGAAGACCCCATCTTTGAAAAAAAAAAAAAAAGGACATCAGGAAGAAATTTGAATGGAGCCATAATTAGACACAATCTGGACTGCCAGCAAAAATGAAAAGCTGTCAATCAGATTATGGATTAAGACCACAATATATGGCATTGAACACCTTCCACAATAGCTAAAATGTAAAAAAGAGAATAGTAAGTGTTGATGATGAAGGAGAGCAATGCAAAGATAAAGATATACTGTTGGTTGAGGCATAAGTTGTTCCAACTACTTTGGAAAACTAGATACTGAAGCTAAACATACATGCACTGTATGGCACAGAAATTCTACTCCTAGTAATCTATCCCCCAAAATACATGTGCCTTGTCACACAAGACAACAAGGTTCTTTGCAGGATTCTTTATAATATCCAAAATCTATCAAGAGCAGAATGCACAAAATAGGATACATTCATACAACAGAGTTCAGGTGTGTACATGAAGATGAACAGAAGACAACTAATGTTGAATAATAATATAAATGCAGTGTTGAATGAGAGGAGCTCAGTGCAAAAGAATACATTTTGTATGGTGTCATTTATATATATTTCAGAACCTTTCAAAACTACAGTATCAGAAATCAGGGTTATAGTTACACTTGGCTAAGAGAGAAGGGCTGTTAGATTGGTATGGGGCAGTAGAGGGTTTTCTAGGTGCTATATTTGTGGATAGATGGTTATGGATGTGTTAGTTCTGTGATGGTGTAGTGCACTACATACAAGTATTTTGTGTGTTTTATGTGATCTCTGTTGAAAAATTCTCAGTGAACCCATGTGGGGCATGTATAATGTGGCTCTTGTAGCTCACACAGGCGCACTTCTCCATTCACATTGCTCTTCTTTGTTGGCCTTAGCAGAGAGGACAAGGTTGGATTTTAGTGGAATCTTTGTTCCCTTGTGCACTTGTCCTCTTTATTACCAGCAGTCTAGCTCTGGTGATGGGTACTGGACAGTAGGGGAGTTTGTAGCGAGAGGATTTTGAGACTGGCATACTTGATTTTCCTGGGGCTAAGGTAATATTGCAGGAAGAGTCTCACATCAGCATGATGGGAAATAATTCCAAGAGTTGTAACAGTGGTCAGGAACTAGCAACCTTTTTTTTTTGTTTTTTGTTTTGTTTTGTTTTTTAAATAGTACCTTAACTATGATATATGAAAACATGATTTTTCTTAAGTATTGATAAAGCATGTTATTGTATTATAAAGAACATGTGATTAATATGCCATTTATACTAGCTATGTGACAGTGAAAAGCACATAAACTGCAGTTTGACTCACATTCAAATCCTGGCTTTGTTGTTTGCTGGGTACTGAACCTAAGGTGGTTTGCTTTTATTTTTTTATTTTTTGTGCCCCACTCTCTTTGTGTCAAAAGAGGGCACTGTTCTTGCGGAGTGAAATGCAGTGAGCTTTTTAGAGGGATTGAATAGCCCTGTGTGTGGCATTTGGTCCGTTTCAGCCTGCATTAGAGTCCTTCTTACTGTGTTGCTAATCCACTAATACTAGTATCTGTGTAAAGCTGAAGACTTTAATGTGCTTACACTAATATTCTGCCAAGGCAGGATTCTTCTTAATCACTGAAGGAAAAGAAATGAAGGGTTTTGAGTTAATCTTTGTTCTTTTTTAATACCATAATCCAACCCTGTTCTCTCTTTTCAGTTTTTTTTTATTGTAAAAATACTCATTGGAAAATATAAAAATTGTAAGAAAAATTAAAAATTATCCAAAACTATATCATTTAAAAGTATACTTTTAAGATTTTAGTACATTTTCTTCCATTTGCTTATCTGTATATTTTTAAACTATAGTTTGAGATATAGCCACACATATGATTTTTTTTTAATACTTAGCATTTCTTTATGTTATTATGGTTTCTTTATTATTTTAGGTAGCTGCATGGTATTACATCTTAATGTACACTGTCATTTAAGGATATTTTTACGCAATTTCCTGTTGAATACTATATGGTGTGCTAAGGTTCTTTTTTGATATCATCCTTAGGATGGATTTAGAGGAATGTGACAACTATATTTAGGGAGACACACTGTTATGGTGTTAGATACATGTATTAGAAGTGCTATATGGAAAGAATGTCAACTTCTGCAAGAAATACATACCTGAGTCCATATTGTGCTACCATGAGTAGCAGTTACTCATTTACAATCCCCCCTGTTTCTCTTTGTAGCACTTGTTTAGTGCTCAGCACAGAAGCCTGACCAGACAGAGCCGTCGTCGGACAGCTACCAGTAGCACTTTGATGGAACGCTTCCTGCAGGATGTACTTCGACACCACCCATACAATTATCAAGACAACAACGGGTAAGGTAGTTCAGTGGAATATTATGTTTGTGTCAGTGTCACAGTCCACCCACCCTACCATCTTGCTTTGTAGCCCAGACTAGCTTCACACTGTTTTCAGGAGATGAGATTATATGAATGCCACCATACCTACTTTTTAAGGTCTGTAATTGAATTAAAAAATAGGAAGTACAGCCAGGCAGTGGTGGTGCAGATCTTTAATCCCAGCACTCAGGAAGAAAAAAAACCAGGTGGATTTCTGTCAGTTGAGGCCAGCCTGGTCTACAAAGCAATTTCCAGGACAGCCCAGGGTACATAGAGAAACCCTGTCTTGAAAGATCAAAAAAAGAAAAAAGAAATGCAAAATTTTTTGTTTTTATGGAACTAGGGATTGAACCTCAGGGCTCAAACATGCCAGGCAAACACTTTACTATGGATGTATTCTCAGCTCTGTAGTGAACTGTCTTATTTAACCAATAAAAACAAATAATTGGAAATGAAAGTTATTGAATACAATTTTGTTTTCTTAAGAAATTTTTAAACTTTATTGTCTTTATTAAGAAATTTTTTATTCATTTTACATACCAACCACCTATCCCCCTCTCATCCCTTTTCCCCCTTACCCCCCAGCCCACCCCCATCCCCTCCTCTGAAAAAGTAAGGCCTCCCATGGGGAGTCAGCAACACCTGGTACATTCAGTTGAGGCAGATCCAAGCCCCTCCTCCCTGCATCAAGGCTGTGCAAGGTCTCCCACCATAGGTAATGGGCTCCAAAAATCCAGTTCATGCCCCAGGGATAGATCCTGATCCCGCTGCCGGGAGCCTCTCTTATAGACCCAGCTACACAACTATCTCACTTAGTCCAGTCCCATGGAGGCTCCACAGCTGTTAGTCTAAAGTTCATGAGTTCCCACTAGTTTGGTTTGCTTGTCTCTGTAGGTTTCCCCATCATGATCTTGATGCCCCTTGCTGATAGAATCCCTCTTCCCTCTCTTTGACGGGACTCTTGGAGTTCAGCCTGGTACTTTGCTGTGGATCTCTGCATCTGCTTCCATCAGTTACTGGGTGAAGGCTCTATGATGACAGTTAGGGTATTCACCAATCTGATTCCCGGGGTAGGCCAGCTCAAGCACCCTCTCCACTATTGCTAGTAGTCTAAGCTGGGGTCATCCTTGTGGATTCCTGGGAACTTCCCTAGCACCAGGTTTTAACCTATCCCTGTAATGTCTCCCTCTATCAAGATATCTCTTTCATTGCTCTCCCACTCCATCCCTCTTCCAGCTTGACCATCCCATTCCCTTATGTTCTCATCCCCCATCCTTTGCCCTCCATTACTGCCTCCCCCCAGTTTGCTCATGGAGATGTCATCTATTTCCCCTTCCCAGGGTGATCCATGGGTCCCTCTTTGGGTCTTCCTTGCTAGCTAGCTTCTCTGGAGTTGTGGGTTGTAGTCTGGTTAATTGGATACAATTTTGATTTAGGGCTAGGAGAAGAGTTAGTACTTATCTAGCCCTAAAGTGAAGTTTTATCTAGTAACTTCCATTTCCAATTGTTTATTTTACAAGATTTATTTGTAGGAGGTCTGGAGTGGAGTGATGGCTTAGTGGTTAAGAGAACTTGCTCTTGCAGAGGACCTGGGTTCAGTTCCTAGCACCCACACATTGGCTCACAACCACCTGTAACTCCAGTTCCAGGGGATCTGACACCTTCTTTGGACCTCTGCAGTCATGTATGTGGTGCACATACATGCAGGCAAAACATTCATAGACATATTATAAGAATAGTATTTTTAAATTTATTTTTAAACATCAGCTTGTGTGTGTGCTTACATGTGCTAGCACGTGCGTGAGAGCATATGTGTGTGCATGTGCACCTGCATGCTGAGGTTAGTGTTTTCTAGGCTAGGCTGAAAGCCATCAAGTCTCAGCAGTCCCCCTGTTTCTACAGACCACCTCTGAGCTACTTTTACAGGCCTGTATCGAAGTCTAGCTTGTTATATGGCTATTGGGATCCAAACTTTGGGCCTTATGACTATGCAGTAAGTCCTCTTGCCTGCCGACCCATTTCTCCACCTCAGTTATTTGTATGACATTTCACTGTAGGTCTGGGAGTGTTAGCTTAGTTGTAGAGTGCTTGTCTAGTAGTAGTGAATCCCTGGCTTCGGTCCTCAGCCCTGGTAATAAAAACAATCCTCTGCAGAAAATAACTATGCTTTTTCCTAAGTAAATGTCTTGGGCTGATAAGTAATTATGTGTTATTAAGGTGCTTTTTAGGTGTGTCATAAGATTAAATGTTGGATGGAGGTGGAGCAAAATGCTTTGGAAGATTAGTAACATAAAAGTGAGGCCATAATAGGGTAAGATAGTCAAAGTGAAAATCTAAGTCAGTTCTATATAATGGAACTGAGTGCTGATTGAGTGGAGGATGTGTTAGGTTGAAAGGACTCTTTTTGGTTTTTTTGTTTTTTTGAGACAGGGTTTCTCTGTGTAATTTTGGAGCCTGTCCTGATCTCACTCTGTAGCCCAGGCTGGCCTCGAACTCACAGAGATCTGCCTGCCTCTGCCTCCCAAGTGCTGGGATTAAAGGTGTGCACCACCACCACTCAGGGAATGGCCTCTTAATGTATCAGGATCTTGATGTCTTTTCAAAAGATTTTTGATTACATTTTTATTGTATTTATTTATTTGTTCATTTGTGTATGTGTGGAAGTTAGAGGACAACTTGCAGCAGCTAGTTTTCTCTTTTAAGTACCATGTATGTTTTGGAAATCACACATAGGCTTGGTGACAAATATCTTTACCCTTGAAGCTGTCTTTCTGGCCTTTGATAGCTCCCCCCACCAATCAGCTTGTTTTGGTTGTTTTAATAAAAAGAAACATTTGATAACACTTAAAAGTTAATGGTTAATTTTCTGGGCTAAAGAAGCCTAGCAATCAGATTATAAAAAGTATATAAGATAAACAAAGCAAAATGGGACATATCTATCTATGAAGAATTAGTTGAGGTGCATACCAGTAGTAGAAAAAGAAACTTATGTTTTGCAAGATACTAACCTAGAATGATGAAATGATGAAAATGTTTTAATAGGGAAACTTTTTTTTCAAATGTTGTTTCTTATAAGAGCTGGTAGAAAGATGAGATTAGATTAGTCATGGGATCATACATAAGACTTTCTGACTTATAAACCTTATAAGCATTTCTTCAACAAATATGTTTGTACAACTGTCCAAGATACTTTTTGTCTTCTGTGATAAGACTCCTTGGCCAAGGCAACTTAAAAAAGAAAGCATTTAACCTGGGACTCTTGGTTCTTGAGGGTTAGAGTCCAGACTATCATAGCATCATGGCAGGGAACATGACAACAAGCAGGCATGGTGCTGGAGCAGTAGCTGAGAGCTTAAATCTGAGCCACAATCTATAAGCAAGAGATAGAGAGGTGGGGGCAGAGGAGGAGAGAGAAGAAAGAGGAGAGAGAGATTGAGAGGGGAGAGAGAGAGCGTGTGAGCACGAGTGCGCGAGAGCGCTAACTGGGAACAGTGTGGGCTTTTGAAGCCTCAAAGCCCACCCCCAGTGACATACTTCCTCCAACAAGGCCACACCTCTTAATCTTCCCAAATACTTTCACCAGCTGGGGACCAAGTATTCAAACATATGAACCTATGGAGGCTATTATTCAGATCATCACAGCAACTATTTCTATAGTTTAATTGCATAGGATTTGAATTTCTAGGCTAAAGTGTATAGATCATTATAAAACAGCAGTTTTCAACATGTAGGTCATGATCTCTTTGGGGGTCAAAGGGCTCTTTCATAGGGGTCACCTAAGACCAACAGAAAACACAGATGTTCACATTAAGATTCAAAGCAGTAGGGGTTGGTGAGAAAGTTAAGAGCATTGGCTGCTCTTCCAGTGATCCTGAATTCAATTCCCAGCAATAACATGGTGGCTCACAACTATCTGTAATGGGATCTGATGCTCTTTTCTGGCATGCAGGCAGAGTACTCATACATAAAAAATAATTAAACATACAAAACAAGGATTCATAACAGTACAAAAATTACAGTTATGAAGTAGCAACAGAAATAATTTAATGCTTGGGGGTCACCACAACATGAGGAACTGCATCAAAGGGTCACAGCATCAGGAAGTTTGAGAACCACTGTTATAGTCTTTATTTTTTAACTTTTCATTTTGGGATAACATATCAGGCTTACCAAAAACATTTGTAAAAGTGACAGAAGGAACTTGAGCCCTAACTGTGCAATCTAAAGTGAGCACAGTGTAATTCTCTAAACTAGGAACCACTTTGCCGGATGCTGCTAGCTTGTCTGTAGATGTACCCTTTGTCATGCCATTGCCCTGTGCTTGGGACCACCCATGCTCACACACTGCAGTGAATGTCCTGTCTCCTTAGTCTCCCTTCATCTCTATCATTTCATTATTATTTAGTTACTTATTAAGACTATGACACTTTAAGAGCACTGGGCATATTTATTTTATGGACAGCACCCCAATTTGGGCTTGTGTTGATGTTTTCCCATGACTAAACTTAAGAGTATACATTTTGGGCAGTAGTTCCTTAGAGCTGAGATTGTATCCTTTGAGGCACAAGATGTTGACATATTTAATTGCTGGTGATATTTTTGAAAAATGACTAATCTCATTTAGTTAGGCTACAAAAGAATGGATTTCATTGTGACATTTTGTTGTGTGTGTGCTGTTGTACTTTGCTTGCATTCACCCCTACTGCCCTTGGTGTTCTCACTCCTGCTAGTCCATTCTTCAAACATGGATGGTGTTAGCTTGATTGACTTGCTTGATTAAAGATGTGCCTGCCAACTTACCCACTGAGCCAGTAGTCCTTAAAGTACCCCTTTAGCTCAAGAGTGGTGTACAAGAGTGGGTTTTTTGTTGTTTTGTTGTTTGTTTTTTTTTTATTTTTAATAGTTGTATATTTGAAGGTTTTTTTGTTGTAAAGTGACAAATGACTAGAAATTGAATTATAATTTGTTACTATTAAATACAGATGCACATGGAAGCTTCTAGGTGGTAGTTGCCATATCATTCTATCTTTTCTTCTCTTATTTTTGGTTCCTTCCATTTTCTGTATTGTCTTGTTAAAGAAGTAGTTGTAAGTATGTTGTGATAGACTTTAAAACACATGAAGGTAGCCGGGAGGTGGTGACACACACCTTCAATCCCAGCACTCAGGAAGCAGAGGCAGGCAGATCTCTGAGTTTGAGGCCAGCCTGGTCTACAGAGTGAGTTCCAGGATAGCCAGGGCTATAGATGTAACCAACCTTCTTATTAAATAAGAAACACAGAACCAATGCAAAGAAGAAAGCCAAGAGGTCAGAGCTAAGAGCTAAAACCTTACCCTTCCTCCTGCAGTGGTCCTACCTCTCCGAACCAGAGCTACCCCTGTGTTAAAGTCTTTATATAGAGTTCCTGTCCTGCCTTCTCATTGGTTGTAAACCCAACCACATGACCGCCTCCTCACGGCCTGTCCGTATAGGCCTCCAGGTTTTCCATGATTGGTATTAAGATTAAAGGCATGTGTATCCAATAATGGCTGTATCCCTGAACACACAGAGACTTACCCAGCTCTGCCTATCAAGTGCTGGAATTACAAGCGTACGCCACCACTGCCCTGCTTTCCTATGGCTTGCTAATAGCTCTGACCCCTGGGCAACTTTATTAACATACAAATAACATTTTAATACAAATAAAATATCACCATACAGGGTTACACAGGGAAACCCTGTCTCAAAAGACAAACAACAAACCAAATGAAGGTGATCTGGAGTTTTGAAAAAGAGGTGAAAGTGGTTCTTGCATTATCATTTCATTGATTAGAAGTCAAAATTGTTTTTAACCATTGTGTAATGCTATTTTGATGACAGTTATCTTTTTTATTACCCATATTCCAAATTAGTATTAAATAAAATGAATTATCAAGGGGATGGAGTGACAGCTCAGCAATTAAGAGAACTTACTGCTCTTGCAGAGGATCTAGCTTGAGTTCCCAGCACCCACATGATGGCTTACAACCATCTTTTACTCCAGTTCCAGGGGATCCAACACCCTCTTCTTACCTCAACAGGCACAAGGCACACACATTGTGCACTTAGATACACACAGGCAAAACACTCACACGCATAAAATAAATTTAAAAACCTTTTTTAAAAGATGACTGTTTTAGCTAGGGTTTCTATTGCTATGAGGAGACCCCATTACCACAGCAACTCTTATAAAGGAAAGCATTTAATTGGGGCTGGCTTACAGTTTCAGAGGTTTAGTCCATTATCATCATGGTGGATTATGGTGGCATGCAGGCAGACATGGTGCAGGAGAAGGAGCTGTGAGTTCTACATCTCGATCTGTAGGCTGCAGAAGGAGTCTGGGTGTGGTTTGAGTATCAAAGAACTAAAAGCCTGCCCCCACAGTGATATACTTCCTCCACAAAGCCACACTTACTCCAACAAGGCCACACCTCCTAATAGTGCCACTCCCTATAGGCCAAGCATTCAACACATGAGTCTGTGGGGGATATACCTATTCAAATCACCACAGTGACTTATGGAATGAAAGCAGTATTACTTCTGATAGGTTAATAAAAGAGCAGCTTAGGGACATAGAGGCTAAAAGCACTTGCTGTACTTACAGAAGACCCACATTCGATTCCCAGCACCCACATCAGGTAACTAACAACCACCTGTAACTCTACTACAAAGGGCTTATTGCCTCTTCTGGCCCCTACAGATACAAGGCATACATGTGGTGCACATATATACATGCAGGCAAACCCACACTGTTGGCCCTGGCCCCACTTCTTGGGTAGCTGCTGCCTTACTTGCTGACCTTCACCAGATGTCCTCCCTATACTGACTTCCTGCCAGCTTCCTTCCTGGAAAACAGGTTCCTTGTTTAGTGTACCCTGCAGAGTGGGGTAAACAGCAAGGGTGTGAAATAGTGAAACTTCTGTAGCAAACTTTTGCCCTCCCAGGTTCTTCCACTGTGCTGTTAGTCTGTATTTAAGGCCCCTGCTTCCCTTCAATAAATGGCATTCTACTGAGATGAATGACCTGCTGTCTTGTCTCTGTTTTAATCCTCAGCCCCTTGCTCGGACATGGTGAATGGGTTGTAGCGCGGGCGCTACACTACACATAAAATAAGTCTTTAGAAAAAAAATAAAAGCAGTTGTCTATTGGTGAAGTTATTAAGGCCACTCCATGTAGTTAAAAGGGAGGTTTATTAGTGGCGTAACTTACAAGTGAAGGGATAGGTAGGTTGTAGGGTCTGAGGAAGAAGTAGCGCAGTCCGGCGGTGTTCTCTGGAGAACTCTGCTTGGTCTACCTCTAGCGTCCAGGGTCCAGGAACCAAGAGAAGGTGGCACATCCAGATCTCGGGTCTTCAGGGTCCTCTCTTGGCCCTGCCTTATAGGTGTGACAGTTACTGAAGCCTCAATGGGGGTTGGAACTTCCAGATCAAAGCTGGAATGGCTACCCACTGCAGTTGCCAGTTGCTGGCACATGCACACATGCTTTCAGACAAATGTGGCATTTCTCAAGTTTAAAAAAAGAATATTTGTTTTTTAATTTTTACCATTTCTTTTTTTTTTTTCCTTTGTAATTGGGTCTTACTATGTAGACCTGACTGGCCCAGAACTCACTATTTAGACAAGGCTGGCCTCAAACTTACAGAGCTCCACCTGCCACTGCCTCCCATGTATTGGTATTGAAAGCATGCACCACCACACCCAGCTGTATCTTCTAGTTTTTATAGACATTTGTTTGTTACTTTTTATGGTAACACACTATTTCATTTCATATTTTAAAAATACTAAAAGCACAAACACAAAGATATAAATGCTTCACAAATGTGCATGTCATCCTTGTGCAGGGGCCAGTGCTCATCTCTGTCAGTCCAGTTGTTGTGGGTGTGCTGCCGAAGTGAGCACCTATTGGGTGTTTTTCAGACAGTGTCTCAGAATGTGTCCCAGCATGGCTTTGATCCCTTTCTCCATAGTCTCTTGAGTTCTGAGATGACAGGTGTTTACCACCTTGCTATTGCTAAACTGTAGTATTATATGTGTGTGTAAGAGTGTCTTTGGCTCCCCACCTTATTTTTTGAGACAGTCTCACACTCAACCTGGAACTACCTGTTTTGACTAGACTGGCTGGCCAGTGAGCTCCTGGGATCCTTACAGCTTGCATTATGCTGGTGTTATAGATGTGCACTGCTTTGCCTGTTTCTGGTTCTCATGTGGGTGCTGGGGATCCAAACTCAGGTTCTCAAACAACAGGTACTCTACTATTGCAGCCATCTCCTCCAGCCTTAGGCTGTAATCTTTTAAAGAAAATTTTAGCAGAAAAATTAAAAGTGCTAATAAAGAAGGGTTTTTTGTTTGTTTGTTTTTATAAAGTTGGGCATAATGGCACACACCTTTAATCCCAGCGCTCAGGAAGTAGAGAGGCAGGTGGATCTCTGTTTGAGGCGAGCCTGGCCTACATAGTTCCATCACATCTGGCTACATAGTAAGACCCTGTCACTCCCCACCCATAAAGAGGGTCTTTATAATATGACTTCACTGAATTTACCTAATATTAATGCCTCAACATTAGTCTGGTACATTTGTTATAACTAATGAACTGATAATACATTAAAGTCTATAACTTGTTTCCTTAATAATTTTCTTTTCCGAGATCCACCTGCCTCTGCCTTCTGAGTGCTGGGATTAAAGGTGTGCACCACCACTACCAAGCCTCTTTAGTCATTTTTAAATTGGATTTTTAAACTAAGATTTTCAAGTTTGATTTCTTTCTGTTTTAGGATATCCACCTTAAATTAGCTTATGATACCTTAGGCTTCTCTTAGTTGTGATACCTTTTTTGTGGGTCTAAATGAGATGATATTGATATTTTGCATTGGATGTTGCTGCCAGCTGAATGCTTCTTGAGAGCCTGATTGTCTTTCTTTGAATTTGTTCACTGTCTACCATAGAGAGTACCACTGAGTAGAGAACCTTTAGTAGGTGATTGCTATGACTTGAATGAAGACTATGACTGTGTTGAGGACAGCTGTTTGTATATATGAAAGAAGGTTTTCTAAAATGTTTTGAATCACGCTTGTTGTGCTGGCAGTAGTAGAAAGATGACTGACAGATGTTTAGATACGGAATTTCAGATCTTTAGAAAAGTAATTTAATCAGCCAGTCATGGTGGCACATGTCTGTAATCCCAGCACTCAGAAGGCAGAGGCAGGTGGATCTCTGTGAGTTTGAGGCCAGCCTGGTCTACAGAGTGAGTTCAAGGACAGCTAGAGCTGTTACACAGAAAAACCTGTCTCAACAAGGCAAAACACACTAAGAAAGAACAAAAAGTAATTTGAACTTTTGAATGGAAAATACAGTGTATGTAGACATAATTCAGAAAGAACATTCAGAAGTGACTCAGTTGTAAGCTAGATGTGATGCTATTGTGCTTCTAATTCTAGCTGCTTGGGAAACTGAGGTGGTAGCATTGCTCATCCTAGAGAAAGGTCAACCTGGGCAGCATAGCCAGGTCACTACCTTCAAAAAAAGGAGACAAATACATATTCTCTGTGTTCCTGTTGAGACCCCAGACTTTTCTGTTCACTTTCCTAAAGGTAACAGATAGGGCTAGCTTCTTCCATGTGCTTCTATAGATAGAATTAACTCTGTAGTTTGTCTTTTTTTGACATAGCTCTTAAAAATGGAGGTTTCTGAGAATCAAACCCAGGGCCTTGCACATACTTGGCAAGTGCTTTACCGACTGAGTGACATCCTGAGCCTCTGGATCAGACTTTTCTGTCTTTTGTGATAACTGAAAAATGGAGACAGGGATTCATTTACATTTTTGTATGTTCAGGTGCCATTTGTTTATGAAATAGCAGCTGGTGGACTTACTGTATCTTCTCTACCAGTTCACTTCTAAAGTATGTAGAGTGTACAATCTGGTGTGATAACTTGTGTTCTTTTCCCACTAATAGTTCATAATAGAAAACAATACCATGAATTCTAAGCAAAAACTAGGGTATTTTAATGTTTTTTTTTTCCCTCATTATTCTTAGACCTGCACCAGATGATGCAGCGGCGGCAGCGGCGGTGGCGGCGGCAGCGGCGGCGGAGGCAGCAGCAGCAGCAGCAGCAAATCCTGAGTCACCTGAAGTGGTTGTTTTGGATGACTCCGATGAAAAGGAGGATGATACTACAGAGAGCACTGGAGAGCAGAACTCGGAGGATTCGGAATCTGTTGAAGAGATAGATTGTAGACCTGGTACTTCCCAGGAGTGTGCAGAGGTTGCAGTTCGACCATCGGTTATTCAAAGGCTGGAGCGGGGGCAGCAGCAGCCCTTGGAGTTGGCTCAGGAAGTTGAGAGTGGTGTGGAAAGAGTTAATTCAGTCGGTGTTCAGGCTACAACTAGTGGAAAAGAGTTAGTGCGTCCCCCAGTGATTTGTAATGCTCCTGCCAGAGCTTTGCCTAGAGGCTCTGAGAGACCAGTTGCGGCTACCAGTGCTCCTCGGTTAGTACTGGCAGTTGCTTCAGATTCCTTTCCAGCTTGTGACACAGAAAACCTTGAAACATACTTTGACTCCCCAGATCAGGGCACTAGCAATCCGCCATCTCAACCCGAAACTAAAGACCCGAAAAAGAAACCTTTAAACATAAATTTAGACAAATTGCTTGCACAGAAAAATCTCAGAGCTCAGGGTGCGTCTTTTTCCCCTGTTGTGCGAGTTCGTGAGTTAACAGGTGATGAGCTTTGTTCTGTAAGAGCTGGGCCGTCTTCTGAGGCAGGGGAAGGTACATCAGGAAACCCCAGTGACACTGACACACTAGCACGAGCGCTTCGTGAAGGTGCCATTCCAAAGCGTCGGGAGGCATCTCGTTCAGATGTGGCTCATCCCCAAGAAGAATCATGTTTGGTCTTTAACAGACAGGAGCACCCAGTGAGTTCTGAAGTGACTTTCCAGCATGGCTCTCTTCAGCTGGTACCTGGTCATTCCCAAGCTGCAGTACATGACTTACGTTATCTGGAGGAGGAAGAGGAGGAAGAAGAGGAAGAAGAGGAAGAAGAGGAACCTGATCAAGAAGATGAGAGCTATGAATCTAGAGGTTCTGACACGAGTTTTGACTCTGAGTCCTCTTGTCAGTCACCGAGTGCTCTATCTGAACTGACGGCTAGAGAAATAAATGGATCAGAAGAAACACATGCTGACAATGTGCAGCCTCAGGATGAAACACCTACTGTTTCTGGAGCAACTTCAGATAATGGCAGCGGTTCTCATCAGGTGCCTACCAACCGTTCTCCAGTGATTACACAGAACATACAGCTCATCAGTCTGGTTGATGAAAGCTATGAGTCTAGTGGCTCTGAAGAGAATTTTGATGGCGATGACTCACTTCCGTCAACTAGTCACCATCCTTCACAGCCTATGAGAGCAGCAAGCCTTCGTACACAGATGGCCATCCGTTTGGTTGACAGCTATGGAAGTGGCAGCTCTGAAGCATGTGAAGATTCTGGGTCCTCAGCTGATGAGACTCCAGCAGCAACAGGACAGCAACAACCTTCGAAGAATGCCCATGCACACCTGGTTGATGAGAATTACGGGTCAAGTAGTTTCAGTTCTGACAGTGATGCGGCTCCCCAAATGCCTGTTCAAGAAAGAAGCCCCAGAGACAGAGCTGTCCAACAGGAAAATGAACACCAACCCAGTAGTGCTGAAGCACATCCTGAACGTGATGGTTCTCTTGAGACAGTGGCTGATGAATCCCAGAGAGAAGCAGAAGAAATAAATGTTCCGAACCAGAGTACCAGCCCTGGGGATATGAACTGTGAGTCTCATGGTCCTGAAATGGGTTTTCATGCTGATGCTCAATTAGAGGCTGATCAATCTCCACTAAATCCTGAGGAAGTAGATCTTGACCTAGAAAATCAGAGTTTTCACTCTGGCATTTCTAACCTAAGTTCTGATTCCCGTGCTTCTTATCAGTCAGCTAATGATCAACCTCAAGGGGCTTGGGGTGAAGTAAATCTTGATGAGTTAAATGTCGACATGGAAGTTAAGAGCAATGGGTGCTCCAGTTCTGAGTTGACATTTGATTCCGATTCCCCTCTTCTGTCAGTTACTGAGCTGTCTCTGCTGGATGTTGAAGGAATAAACGAAGATGACTTTAACCTGGAAGATGAAAGCTGTGTGTCAAGTAGTTCTGACATAACTTTTGATTCTTATATTCCCGATGACTCAGTAGCTGACCAACCTCAAGTAGCTGTTTATGAGGAGGAACCTGTTGATCTGGAAAATAAGAGTAATGCATCTTGTGTTTCCGAAATAACATATGATTCTGATATTCCTCTTCATTCAGGAAATGATCACCCTGAAGTAGCTGTTAAAGAAGTAATCATTCAGGAAGAAGAAAACGTTCATTTAGAAGGGAAGAATGACAGTCCCAGTGGTTCTGAAATATGTTTGGATTCTAATGCCCCTCTTCATTCAGTGACTAATTCTGATGTAGCTGTTGAAAAGATAAATTCCCCTAACGAAGAGCAGGTACACATAGAACAAAAGGAAAATGAACCTACTGATTCTGAACTAGACACTCTTAACTCAAAGCCTGGACATTCTGAAGATCCTATTATAGTATGTGCTTCTGAAACAAAATTGGATTCTCGTATCCCCTTTCAGTCAGTTATTCGCAAATGTGAAGTAATTGTCAAAAATGTATGCCCTCCAAAAGAAGAGCATGCTCAATTGCCAAGTCAAAGCACGGAGTCTCATTCTGAAATCAATTCAGCTTCTTCTTCTGCTCCTCAAGCAGTGACAGAACCTTACGTAGGTAAGAAAGCCAAGAGAAAGACAAAGCATCTTGAGGAAGTCAAGAGCGATGATGAATATGACTGTCCACCAACTTTCCATTCTGATGGTTTGCCTCAGTTAATGACTGAAAAACCTCAACCAGCTGCTTTGAAAGAGGGCCATGCTGACCCAAAGGATGAGAGCACTGAAGCCAGTCTGAATACTGCTGGTTGTCTTGATTCAGTCATTAGCCAACCTCAGCCAGCCGAGAAGGAAGACCATGTTGAACTGGAAGACACAAACAGCCAACCCAGTGATTCTAAAGCAAGTGTTGATTCTACTGGCCACTGTCAGTCACCACCTAAAGACGATGTGATCACAAAAATGAGCCAGTTGAAAAACGAGGCAAAGGACCTTGAAAAGAAGATCAGTGAACTTATTTATTCAAAACTAATGCATGATTCTAGTGTTTCTTTTCATTCTGCAATGGATCACCTTGAACTAGCTCTTAAACAAATAAATCTTGATAGTAATGATCAATTGCCCTCAGAAGATAACAGCCAGGATGCCAGTTCTGAAACAAATTTGCACTCTGATTTGTCAGTCCAGTCAGTAGTTGGAGCACCTGAAATCACTGTTTTGGAGCCTGAACACGTTGAACTTGAAGGTAGGAATAACGAGTCTTGTGATTTTAATGACTCTGTCCAATCAAAGGCTGATCAGCGTAGTGACAGTGAGGAAAACCAAAGTCAGAAGGATAAAGAGGACACGGAGGGTAAGAAGGATGAGGTGCAGGGTTTGGGAAATACATGTGTTTCCAATGTCCCTCAGCCATTGGCTGGCCAAACTGAAGTTGAAGTAGTTCAGGAGATCAGCCATTGGAAGGAGCAGGGGGATTTGGAAGATACAATTGGTGAATCTAGTGACTCACAAATCAACTTGCATTCTGATGAACCACTCCAGTCTGTGACTAATACAACCCAGGAGGCTGCTGAAGAAATACATTTACTGAGGGGACATGTTAGACCACATGATAGTGACTGTGAGCCCTGTGGCTCTGAAATAGTGGCTATTTCAAATGTCATTTTTTGCTCAGTGACTCGGAAACCAGAGTGTTTGCAAAAAGAGTGTGCCAGTTCGAAAGTAAAGAGCAGCAGTCCTTGTGGTCCTGAGGTGAGTGTTGATTCCCATGACGGTCCTGAAACAAGTTTGGATTCCAGTGATCCTTGTCAGTCAGTAGCAGGCCATCTTCAGAAAACTGTCAAGGAAATGACTCTGAAGGAAGACCATATTTACCTGGAAGATAAGAGCTACAGGCTAGTTGATTTTGAACCAACTTACTATCCTGATGATCCTGTTCAGTTGGTGACATATCCATCTGTGGAGGATGCGTCTATCACAGAAGTAAACTTGCAAAGTGAGACTCATAATGACCTAGAAAATGAGACCTTCCAGCCATGTTGTTCTGAAGTAACATGCAGTTCTGGTGTTCATCTACAGTCAGAAGTTGACCCACCTCAAGTGGCTTGCACAGTAGCAGATCTTGAGAAGAAAGAGCTTGACATAGAAGAAAAGTACAACGAATCTTGTGAGCCAGAAGCGCTGTATGATTCTGACGTCTCTTTTCAGATAGTAGTTAACCAGCTTCAAACAGCAGATGATGGAGAAACAGATTCACCACAGGTGGTATTTGTGGATGTTGTGTCCAGTGATAGTGATTGTGACCGGGAAGTAATTTCTGATTCAAATATCCCTCTTCAGCTAGAAACTGAGCCACCTCAGGTGACTGTTAGAGAAACCAATGAGATAAACACAGATTCTGTTGATTCTGCAGCAATAGAAAAGTACTATTGCAAATTCTGTGGTTGTGATTATGGAGCCTCTCAGTCAGTGACAAATCAATCCAAGGAAAGTTTCAAAATAATAAATCGGAAGAATGACTACATTATTCTGGGAGATTCCACTTGTTCATCTTGTGGTCATGAACTCAATTTCAATGTTGATGCCTCTGAACAGCCCAGTACCTGCCAGTTACAAGGGCCTGATGGTAACTGTATTGTCCCAGAAGTTAAGAACTATGACTCTAATTGTCCTGATGCCTCTGAACAGCCCACTACCTGCCAGTTACAAGGGCCTGATGGTAATTGTATTGTCCCAGAAGTTAAGAACTATGACTCTAATTGTCATGATGCCTCTGAACAGCCCACTACCTGCCAGTTACAAGGAACTGATCGTAGTTCTGTTGTCCCAGAAGTTAAGAAGAATGTCTCTAATCGTCATAAAAGACGTTTCACTTCGGAAGATACTGTCAAAAGCGTCAGTCCTTGGAAAGAGCCAAGAAGTGTTGCCTGTCGAGACAGGAACTGGGAATCTAGCAGTTTTGCACCAGGCCCTCCTCTCTGTCCTATGTCAGTGATGAGCCGGACAACTGTGATGCATATCCCTTTGAAGATACCAGACGAGGATCTAGAAACTTCTCCATCTGACCTGCGTTTTTACTCTGATTCTGACACTGATGAACCTCAACCTGCCAAGAAATCACGTTCCAGTAAGAAGATAACTTTTGACATGAAAGTAACTAAGTATGAATATGAAGACCTCGAGGAAATGGAAGGAGTGGAAGAGTTTGCAGAACTATTTCTTGAAGTGCCACCTCAGGTTCCTCCATTGGTTGTTGTAACACCTCGGGGTCAGATGAGTGAAACTCCATTGGTTGTTGTAACACCTCGGTGTCAGATGAGCGAAACTCCATTGGTTGTTGAAACACCTCGGTGTCAGATGAGCGAAACTCCATTGGTTGTTGAAACACCTCGGTGTCAGATGAGCGAAACTCCATTGGTTGTTGTAACACCTCGGTGTCAGATGAGGGAAGCACCATTGGTTGTTGAAACACCTCGGTCTCAGATGAGCGAAACTCCATTGGTTGTTGAAACACCTTGGTCTCAGATGAGCGAAACTCCATTGGTTGTTGAAACACCTCAGTGTCAGATGAGGCAAGCACGATCAGTTGTTGGAACAACTCGGACTCAGATGAGTGAAATTCCATTGGTTGTTGAAACACCTCGGTCTCAGATGAGCGAAACTCCATTGGTTGTTGAAGCACCTTGGTCTCGGATGAGCGAAACTCCGTTGGCTGTTGAAGCACCTCCGTGTCAGATGAGTGAAGCACGATCAGTTGTTGGAACACCTCGGTCTCAGATGAGTGAAGCTCCATTGGCTGTTGGAACAACTTGGTCTCAGATGAGCGAAACTCCGTTGGTTGTTGAAGCACCTTGGTCTCGGATGAGCGAAACTCCGTTGGTTGTTGAAGCACCTCCATGTCAGATGAGTGAAGCACGATCAGTTGCTGGAACAACTCGGTCTCGGATGAGCGAAACTCCGTTGGTTGTTGAAGCACCTCGGTGTCAGATGAGGGAAGCACGATCAGGTGTTGGAACAACTCGGACTCAGATGAGTGAAGCTCCATTGGTTGTTGAAACACCTCGGTCTCAGATGAGCGAAACTCCATTGGTTGTTGAAGCACCTCAGTGTCAGATGAGGCAAGCACGATCAGGTGTTGGAACAACTCGGACTCAGATGAGTGAAGCTCCATTGGTTGTTGAAACACCTCGGTCTCAGATGAGCGAAACTCCATTGGTTGTTGAAGCACCTCAGTGTCAGATGAGGCAAGCACGATCAGTTGTTGGAACAACTTGGTCTCAGATGAGTGAAATTCCATTGGTTGTTGAAACACCTCGGTCTCAGATGAGCGAAACTCCATTGATTGTTGAAGCACCTTGGTCTCGGATGAGTGAAACTCCATTGGTTGTTGAAGCACCTCCGTGTCAGATGAGTGAAGCACGATCAGTTGTTGGAACAACTTGGTCTCAGATGAGTGAAATTCCATTGGTTGTTGAAGCACCTCCATGTCAGATGAGTGAAGCACGATCAGTTGTTGGAACAACTCGGACTCAGATGAGCGAAACTCCGTTGGTTGTTGAAGCACCTCGGTGTCAGATGAGCAAAGCACGATCAGTTGTTGGAACAACTCGGTCTCAGATGAGCGAAACTCCGTTGGTTGTTGAAGCACCTCGGTCTCGGATGAGCGAAACTCCGTTGGTTGTTGAAGCACCTCGGTGTCAGATGAGGCAAGCACGATCAGTTGTTGGAACACCTCGGTGTCAGATGAGCGAAACTCCGTTGGTTGTTGAAGCACCTCGGTGTCAGATGAGGCAAGCACGATCAGTTGTTGGAACACCTCGGTCTCAGATGAGCGAAACTCCGTTGGTTGTTGAAGCACCTCGGTGTCAGATGAGGCAAGCACGATCAGTTGTTGGAACAACTCGGTCTCAGATGAGCGAAACTCCGTTGGTTGTTGAAACACCTCGGTGTCAGATGAGGCAAGCACGATCAGTTGTTGGAACACCTCGGTGTCAGATGAGTGAAACTCCGTTGGTTGTTGAAGCACCTCGGTGTCAGATGAGCAAGGCACGATCAGTTGTTGGAACACCTCGGTGTCAGATGAGCGAAACTCCGTTGGTTGTTGAAGCACCTCGGTCTCAGATGAGCAAGGCACGATCAGTTGTTGGAACACCTCGGTCTCAGATGAGCGAAACTCCGTTGGTTGTTGAAGCACCTCGGTCTCAGATGAGCAAGGCACGATCAGTTGTTGGAACACCTCGGTCTCAGATGAGCAAAACTCCGTTGGTTGTTGAAGCACCTCGGTCTCAGAGGAGCAAGGCACGATCAGTTGTTGGAACACCTCGGTCTCAGATGAGCAAGGCACGATCAGTTGTTGGAAAAACTCGGTCTCGGATGAGGAAAAATGAGGTGAAAAGCAACCCACAGGAATCCCAAGGTCATCTCTCCAGTTGCTCTGAGACCAAGAAAGTTCTTCTGGGTGCAAAAGAAAAGACTGCCTGCTCTGACAATAACCAGAACACCACATCAGTTCACGCATTGCCACATCTTGAATCTATTGAAGGTAAAGTTGGAGACACCAATGACGTCTCAGTGACTGTAGGTAAACCATCTTGCTCCCTAGCAGAGGGGCTCCATCAGCAACATGGGCACGTGGCTTCTGAGAACCAGGTAGAAGGAGTCAGATGTGGAACTCAAGCAAGGTCTGGGAAGAAAAGAAAAATGGCAGGACAAGAACGATTAACAAAAGGGAAGCATTCCCAACCTGACAGCCAGAAAAAGAAAACCCAAACTAAGAAAACAGAGTTACCCAAACCACAAACTAAAGCTTTGGAGCTTGGACAGCCCGATTCCTTAGTCTCTATTTTTTCTTCTCTAAGTATGAAGGAAAATCAGTCTTTGAAACCACCTAAAATGAAGCCTGGCAGGGAGAGGGATTTACGATTCACATACAGTTGTAAAAAGCAGAGCGCTCCTAGCCCAGCACGTAAGAAACCTGTGACTAATCCTCCACAGACCCCAGCGGTAGCAGACCGTGACAAACACGAGGTAGCTGGCAGTGGTCTCAGTAAGACTGACCCAAAGCCCAGTGCAGGAGAGGGTGGTGCCAACAACCCAAGCGTGGCTTCAAGATCCATTCTGGCAATGCCGAAGAAAAGAATCGTGTTCAGGATCCTTGGGGCCAGCCAGTCTTCACCTCCAGAAAATTCAGGTGTGGGTGCTCCTGCAGTTCCAAAGGATAACAATTTCCAGCAACCTCTTTCAAATCGTGACAGTGCCAGAATTATTCCCAAATTAATTCTAAAGGAGGTTATAGACACTAAAAATCAAAAGAAATTTTGGAAAAAGAAGATGGCTGCTACACATCAATCAAGCTTACTCAAAAACACTTACAAAACAGTGGTCCGGAAAAGAACAAAATTTTCAGAAAAAATGGCTCTTTGGGTTCAGCTGATAGCAGCCGACATCGTTAGGAAGTATGTTGGTGGATGCCGTAGTTTTACACGCCGGAGGCGTCAGTCAAAGACTGTTTTTATTCGAATGCAACTGAGGAAGAAGAAGATGGTCGCCAGGAAGATAAAGGAGGCCAAGAGAGCAGCAGCTGAAGCGCGAGCCCTTGCGCGTGCGCGTGCGCGTTCGCGCCTCTGCGTCATCTCAGTTGTCCCAGCTGTTCCTGAAGAGCCGTCATGCAGCGCCGCTGCAGGGCCTGCAGCGCTGCCTGCTGTCCCGAGTCCTGCGAATGCTGCGGGAGTAAAGCGCTACCGGAAAACCTACTACCGAAGGAAGAAGAAGAAGCTGCTTCCTGTGAGAGAGTATGACCTGAGAAGCTCAAGTTCCACATCAAACGGGAGGGTGACACGTCTCACAAGCAGATCGAGAAGCAATGAGGCAAAATAAAAGCGCATATCGTCGCTGATGGAGAGATCAGTCCTCACTTGGATGGAACACATTCGGACTTGAGTGAACGTACTTTTCCCAGCTTTGGCGGGGAAACTGACCTTACACTATCCTTACACTATTTTGCTACAGATATTATTTTTCAGAGATTTTATATTCATTTAAGATTAGTGTTTAGGGTCCTTTTTTTTTTCTTTTAAAGGTTTAAAAGCAAACTTTGTCCCGTTTCTGTAGAAGAGCTTCATCTTAATTTGTCTTATAATTTAGCATAGAATTTTGTCCCTTTAATCATGTCCACATTCATTTCCTCTGGAAATCTTTCGTGCCAAAAAGTTATAACACTGGGAGAATGAACATAGCAAACTTATTAATGTCATCTTTTAAACAATTGGACAGACGTCTTTACTGAATTACCACGCTTACAAGTTGAATGGTCAATAAGTATTCTAACTGGATGAATAAAAAGAGCGACATTGTGCTATCTGAGTTTTCGACTATGATTGACTTGAATGTTCACAAAAATATAATTTATTTTTCTTTTAAAGGCATTCCACGAAATAATTCTTTAATTGAGGTTTCTTTCTTCTTCTTTTTTTTTTAAGTACCTGGTGATTTTTATAGACAACAGAAATTCTTTCTCCTTCATTTCGATTGGATCTGCAAGTCCGTAGCTTTCCTCCTTTGGACACATACCCACAAGTCTGTTCATTGGCATTATTAACCTTGTATGGAAAAAGACTTTGCAAACATGATTAGGCTTTTAAACTACCTTTTCTCCCTTTACTAGTAGTCTAAAATGAAAATCCAGGTAATTTTTATCATCTTACTTGTTAATATTTCAGGCACCATTTAAAATATTGAAGTAAAGTTATTGGTTTGATAATAGTGTGTGGGCTGGCCATTGTCAATGAGTGAAAAACTTGAACATTTCAGAACACTTAATGTAGTAACTTAACTAGAGACCCACTTTACAAGTGAGAAATGATTTATACATCAATCAGTTTATCTTCAACTGTCTAATTATCTTAAACTAGTTAGATAGTTCAAGGTGAGACTAATTTGACATCTTTTCTTAAACTACCTAATTGATTTTAACAGTTCAGATAAAAGATGCTTGGATACACAGTGTGAGCCTCTGGTACTTGAGTATATTCCTTTAAGGGACGTTGACTGACCTGGTGCAGATGCATCCTAGTTCTTGTTCAGTCAAGACCTCAATCTCTTTCTGTCATCGATGTTACAAGGAAACAAAGTTTCCCTTTATTGTGTAACTAATATATCTTAGTGAAACTAGAGTCAGTGTTAAGCTGTGTGTTGATTTCAGAGATAAAACTGTGTTACCTTAGAATTAATGAAATATCAATGTGGTTTTGTTTCAGGTGCCATTACTTAACATGTGAGTCATTAATGGTGATATTATTGTCATTACTTCTAAATATAAGCAGTAATTATATTGCAGAGTGGACAAATGTGGTTTTTTTTAGTTGGCAAGTAACGTGTTTAATTTCTTCAACCTTGCCTCCTGATTATACAAACATTTTAATTCCCTTTCTTAAAAAATATCCCAGTAAGCCACTAGTTTTTTTTTTAAGTCTTCAAATTTTTTTTTTTTTTTTTTTTTTTTTTTTTGGTTTTTCGAGACAGGGTTTCTCTGTGTAGCTTTGCGCCTTTCCTGGAACTCGCTTTGGAGACCAGGCTGGCCTCGAACTCACAGAGATCCGCCTGGCTCTGCCTCCCGAGTGCTGGGATTAAAGGCGTGAGCCACCACCGCCCGGCAAAATCTTCAAATTTTAATTAAGGAAAAAAAACTCTGTTTCACTGATTATGAAGTAAACATGTAAAAGCACTCTGTTTGCAGGTATTAATGTCTTTTGTAGTTCCCAGACACCCACTATAATAAACACTCCTGCAATGTAAGTTAAAAGAGAGAGTTCATACTCAAATAACCTACCATGGAATTATGCCACACCATGTCTATTATGACTATATTCTGCAATGGGGATTATTCTCATAATTCAAATGATAAAAATTTCAAGTTAAAAAATGTTACAGTTTTTTTTTCCCCACAAATTGGAAACTCTTCTAAGTACCATTTTAAGGAAAAGCAAGGAAAAGATTCCTATGTAAAATTCACATCACCCAAATATAAAATGTCTGCTTCAGATATGATGGTTTTGTTTAGCATTTTGCAAGTGTTCACTAAGTTCTTCTAAGGAATATTATTTTAGGCAAGCTTGGAAACTTGAAATTATAAAACGTAAGTTAAATTGGAAGTGAATTTTTCAGAATTTGATAGGATACAAGATGTGCCCCTTTGTCTACACGAATATTGGCTTAATTTTTCAGGCTAGGTTGAAACAATTGCTTATTTTGTGTAGTCAAGAGTGCATTTTAGTCTTTTAATAGTAGTACATCAAATTACAACCATAGTGAATGTTTTGTTAATCTTGTCCTTTTCAGTATCTTGAATAGATTTTTATTGTAATTGTCCTGGTGTATACAGTGTGTGGACAATATTGTGTAAAGAGTGTTTTTTGCATTTGTGCATTTAAATTATTTATGTAACTAGGGCTCTGAGTAACACTTTTTTTTTGCTTAAAGAAAGCTATATTTAAATATTCAAATAATTATATATTTCCATGTAAAACTAATGTGAAGACCGATGTATTTTTTATAATGCAATTTAAAGTGTAAGCTTGTTTTGATGTTATCAAGATACATTTATTAAATATTGAAATTTGTGTGTACTCTCTCCTCATATTAGAACCTTTTCCTTGAAATACTTAAAAAGAATCAGAGAGTCACCAAGTCTGAAGTAACTCTGTTAAAAGGCCTGAGAGATGATAAATAAGAGAGTGCAAATGTTGATGCTGGCGAGAAAATAGTTTAACCAAAGATGCACGGTTGTACTCAAATCAGTACTTATTTCAGAAGATTAAACGACCACTCATTTGCGTGGTGGAGTGATGGGGCAGCTGTGTTTTACTTGCGCACCTGTACTGAAAGGATTGAGTTCAGGAGCAGGATCCATCCCACCATCTGACCCCTTTTGGGAAAGGAGAACCCCAAACCTTCCATCTACCTCCCTGTCTTCTAGTGCCAGTAGCGTAAGACCGTGCCGACAGGATGACATGGGAGAGTATGTCAGGGAAGAGTGAGCCAGGCGTTGTGACCCTAGAATTGTTGACTTACAGGGTTTGTTTCTAGAATGAGAATATCTTACTCTTTCCAATGAGAAATTACTTTGTAGTAAAGGAATTTTATGTTTAGAATCATGGAATTACAGAATTATACACCAAAATGCCAACTTGAGGAAATGGAAGGTAAGGAGACTTAGCATTTCCTCATCTCTTGTTCAAATGAACTCAGATATTAAAGGGGAAAAAGGATAATTTAAAACATTTCCCTTTGTCCTTATACTTTTTGTGTGTAAAGTTCCAAGTATTTTAAGCCACGGGCTTCGTTTTTAAAACTGATTTGCTTTGATAAGGATTAGGTCGAGGCTGAAGAAGTTTGTTGCTGGGGCTTTACATTATTTCTAGGTTTGTTTATTGATTTTAATAACCTTTAAACCTGGAAAGCAATTTATTTACCAGATTTACTCCTCCCAAATTTAGTGTTTGTACATATCGAGCCCTTCTTGAGGACAGCACATTTCCCTAAGCTTTAACTGCATCGTGTCCCTTGATCTTTGTATTTGGGAGCCTTGGATTCTAGAACGATTACTAGGGAGAAAACTGAGGCATAGAGTAGTTAACCCCCAGTTAGAGGCCGTCTCTCTTCTAGGTTCTGTTTCCTTAGTTTCCCTGCTTAGTTTATAAAAAACGGTACCTTTATGTTAGTCTTGGGGTAGTTTTTTGTTGCTTTGTTTCGCTTTGGTTTTTTTTTTTTAAATTTGTTTTGTTTATCAGGATTAGGGTTTTTGTTGTTGTTTCTTGGTTGTTTTTCGTTTGTTTGGTTGAGAATCTCCTTTGTTATATATAGCATGCTGAGTATTTTTGGTTTTTAGTTACTTTTTAGCAAGTAGTTTTAAATTGACTTCAGTTTTAATTTTGTTGTCTTTCTGCCTCTCAGAGTTGAACCCAGGGCCTTGTGTGTGTGGATTAGGTGCCCTGTTGCTGTGTTGTACTCCAGTTCTCAGACAGTTTTTAGTGACCAGAGTCTTTGTTTCCTGACAGCAAGTGAGAAAGCCAACCGGTGAGGCTAGCGTAGTTCCCTTCATAGCTCTTCTTTATTATCTGATTACTCCTCAGATCCAAGACTGGACAGCAGAGTTGCCTTTTGGGGTGTTCTTGTGGCGCACTTGAGTGTTGAATGCTCTTTGGATCTTTGACTCTCCTTTTCCTGCCCAGCGTGGTATTCTTTTCCCTGTGCTCAGTCAGTCCTCAGTTTCAGCATATACACACACACACACACACACACACACACACACACACGCACGCACGCACGCACGCACGCACGCACGCACGCATCACCTCATGCCCTCAATCCTTTCATGAGGGATTGCTTGCAGGGAACTGAAATCTGAGATTGGTAACCACCAAATTGCTGGTTTAATCCAGATGTGCCACAGAGCCAGGAACTGTGTTGGTGACAGCCTCTTGGTTAAGTTGTTCAGCATATTTAGATACCGTCAAAACAAGGAAGTCAGCATTGATCTCATGTATCTACTCTGCAGACCTTATTAAAATTTCACAAATTATCCCAAAATGTCCTTATAGGTCCTGGATTTGATCCACATTTCTGGACTTGATGGACTTTGTTGGTTTCTTCGATGTGGAGCAGTTTCTCGCCTGTCTGTACTTGATAGCATGGCATTTTGAAAGTACTGCTTTATTTGTGGGATATCCTTGAGTTTGAGCTTGTCTGTGTTTCTTTGTAACCTGCATTTTTGGAATTCTGTGTTCTTCTCAGTGTGTATTAACTGAAGCCATGTGATGTCAGTTTGAATAAATGTGGTGATAGAATATATCCCGTGTTTGTCTTTATTTTATGGAAAAAGCCTTTGGAAAATCACAGAAATGGGGTGGGAATTGCATCTCATAGAGGTCTTCAAAAACTAATTGACACTTAAAGTTTTCTTAGATCTGTTCATTGTGTATGTGTTGGCTCACATTGCCTGTGTGGGGGTCGGGGGACAATTTACGGGAGTCGGCTTTCCTCCTACCCCGTGGGTTCCAGTGATCAAACTGATCATCAGGCTTGGAAGGTATCTGTACTTGCACACATCTCACAGACTTTCGCAACTAATTTTGGTGGTAATTATTACTGAAAATTTGGTGCTACACACCTGTAATTCTAGCCATTTTGGGGAGACTGAGGCAGGAGGGTTCAAGTTCAAGGGTAGTGAGACATCCTGCAAACTGGGGCAAAGTGTGGTGATGGTGACATTCAGGAGGCCAAAGCAGGATTATTGAGAGTTGAAGACCAGTCTGGGCTATACAGCAAGACCCTGTTTCAAAAAACAAAACTTCACAAAGAAAAATCCGTAATCATATAAGACAGATGGCAAGCTTAGAATTAGAATATTTAATATTCTATCCTCCCCTAATATGCCTACATGCCTGGGCCAACCGTGGATTCCAAGAATCCAAACATAAGTGGCAAGCAGTCTTCTGCACTGTACTTCTGTGCTGAGATAGGTACATTCTTTTCTAAAGTCTTTTTCAGTTAAAACTTCACTCACCAGAGATGAAGGTATGTGCAAAAATTCGTTTTACTTATTAGGGTTAGAGAAACATTTTATAGGAAAGCACAAGCACTTTGTAGTACAGATTACATGAATTATTCCAAACTCTATGGAATAGTGATGAGATCCAGTTTCTTTTCTTAACCCCTGTCCAGTATTTATGACAAATATTTGATATGTAAGCCTTCTGTGGATTTGTATTATATATTACTTAGAATTTAGCATTCCCAGGCCTGAGTAATTTCCTTCTGAGAAACATAGTTATATAGGAATTAAGTCATTACTTGCCGGAGATACCAGTACACACTGATAAGGGTATTTGGAAGCATCAAGATTCCAGTCTTTAAGCTGGGTCCGTTCAGCTAGTGAATCACCTCAGTCTTGAACATGTGTGATTAGGAGAATAACATACTAAGTTCGCACAATTTCCATCATTTCACTTACCTACAAGTTTCCCCACAGTCAATCAACATGTGAATGGATATAAAATCAGTCTTATGTTTACAATGAAATACTATCCAGCCACAAAAAAGAAAAAAAAAAATTCACTTAAGACAATTTGGGTCAACTGGGCGGGGGGGGGGGGGGGGACATTCTAAATGAAATAGACTAATGCATATAAACTTAAGAATCTCATTTATGTGTGGAATCTAAAAATGTCAAACTCAGAAGTGGAGAGGAGAGCCTGGCTGGAAGGACAGGGAAAAGGAGAGATCCCTGGTCTCTCACTACTCTGTAGGCCATGGGATCTTGGGAGAATGGAGTTGATGAGTGAGTCTCATTAACAGACAGTTATAATGACTAGTCTGAAGGACTATCCACTCCTATCCACTATACCTGAGAGGGTCGTGAAAACACATTCCAAGAGCAATTCCATGTTCTGAATAAACCAAGATCACAAGACTCTTGGAGTTTCCTCTCAAGCTCTCAGAATTCTCCCAGGACTCCATTCCTGGACCATGTTCTGACACTGTTCTGTGGGTACAAGGGCACAATCAGGAGTAATAAAAGGTCACAATTAGTGTATATTTCAAAACAATGATTTGTTCAATGTTTTCACTACAAAGGATATTTGAGGTCATAGGTATTGTTGCTCTGATCTTTCTACTACAGAGATACAAAACTACCGTATTTTTTCACATCAAAAATTGTTAAAACAAAAACACTAACCCATTAAGCTATACTTAGAGTGATTAAAGTTTGTATATAACCTACACCTCAATGAGGTCTACAAATAATTCTCCCATAATGCTTGTCTCCACGCCTGTGGCCACAAAATTAGTTTAGAACATCATCTCAGAAGTTTTCATTTAACTCCAAAGAGTCTGGAGCTTCTGGAGTGTTAAAATGAAGACCTCTGTAAATCTGACCCCTCCTTAAGAACAATGAGAAAACAGAAAGGTAAACAGCTTTCTGGTCTCTAGAAATTGAAGGCTTGCAATACTATAATGAATATTAATGAAAACCTTCCAAGTCTCAGGATTGTGTGCCTGACAGCATTTTGAATTGCTCTCATTATATACTCACCAGCTCCACTGTAGCCTTAAACCAGAAAATCTTGGCATTTAGTTGCTGTGAAAACAGTAGCCTTGTAGCTCCAGAGGAGGTATTACTATGGTGCTCCTCCAAAACCTTATCCCCAGAACTGACATTTTGACATGTCTTCACATCTTCCAGGGAAAGCCCCCATTTAAAGGGAGTTATATTAGTTTGTCCTGACATGGAGTTAATTCCGCTGAAAACTATTTTCAGGGCATTTTTCTTGAACACTCACTGGAAATTGTCTAACATCATGGCTACCTAGGACAGTATTACCACATGAAGCAAGCAAGAACTTGATCCAATCTGGACAGGTTGGGAAGCAAAGTGTCAATGGGAAAAGCTCTGATAACTCCTGGTGATTTAAAAGGTTACACAAAGGTTGGCCTCATGCCCTAGAACCAGAGAAGACCTCATTCATGTCTGACTGACTAGAGACCCCATTTAAGCAGGAAGTTAGGGCCAAGGCAGAGTTGTAAACTGCCAGAGATCTGAGGGCAAATACTGATAACACATACACATAAAGCATTCTCATGAGATATTAATTCTGACCCATCATTAGCTGACCAGTAAGCTCAATGAACAGATAAGTCAGTGGATTCACAGTACAGGGAGTCGGGCTTCACAGAAATAGCTCGTGAAAATCACCAAACTATCAAATAGTGACATTAATAACCAACTTCCAGAGATGTCATATACAAGATACTGGTTTGGGGGCTGGGAATGAGATTCAGTGGAACAGTGCTTTCCTGGCATGCACAAAAAAGCCCTGGATTTGATCCCTAGCAGTACAGCCTTAAATACCTGTGCTGTCTATGTGTGTGTGTGTGGTAAGGTGGGGTGGGGTGGGACATGTACATGTTCCGATGTGTGCATGTGTAGAAGCAAGAGGCTAGACTATCTGGCCAGAAAGCCTCCAGGATACTCCTGTCTCCATTTCTCAGCATCAGCATGCCCATTTTTTCCCTGGAGTACTGGGGATTTGAACACAGGTCCTAATGCTTGTGTCCCAAGAACTTTACCTACAGAATCATCTCCTCAATCCTAAAATACCCAATTTTTTTTATTTAAAAAATAGAAAAAAAAGAAACAGGAAACTACAACCATACACAGAAGAAGAACCAGATACACTTAATAGAAAATGTCCTTGAAAGGTGGACTTGCAATAAAGACATTAACCCAGCTACTATATATGTGTAATATATATGATTTATAAATATCCAATTTAAAAGCAAAACCAAAAGAAATCACATGTATTAGTCAGGGTTCTCTAGAGTTACAGGACTTACAGAATGAATCTCTATATATAGAAAGTGGGTTTATTAGAATGACTTACAGGCTGTGGTCCAGCTAATCCAACAATGCTGGTTGTGAACAGAAAGCCCAAGAATCCAGTGGTTTCTCAGTATATGCTGGAAACCTGAAGAAGTAGGCCCTAATGCTAGGAAAGGAATAGATTTGCCAGCAAGGTGAGGGAAAGCAGGCAAAGAGCAAAAGCTTCCTTCTTCAAGTCCATATAGACTTCCAGCAGAAGGTGTGGTCCAGATTAAAGGTATATCTTCCTGCCTCAAGATCCAGATTAAAGGTGTGTCTCTTCCCACCTCAAAGATCTGGATTACAAGTGGGTTTACTTTCTTCAAATTAAGCAAAAAATCCCTCATAGATATGTCCTCCATTTTTGGGTTTTAGTTAATTTCAGATATAGTCAAGTTGGCAACCAAGAACAGTCATTACAGAAAGTAGGAAAATATTTTCCCAAAGGGTACCAATAAAGAGAAAGTAGGGGGGAAAAAGAACTAGAAATTCTGAAATCGAAAAGCCTTTATATTTTTTTTTTAAATAAAAAATGTGTATGTTCAGGGATGGAGAGATGGCTCAGTGGTTAAGAGCACTCCCTGCTCTTCCAGAGGACCTGGGTTCAATTCCCAGCACTCATATGGCAGCTCACAACTGCTTGTAATTCCAGTTCCAGGGATCTGATGCCCTCACACAGATAAACACGAGGGCAAAACACCAATGCACATAAGAAAATAAATTAAAAAGTGTATGATTTGTACAAAGGTGTAATAATTATGTAAGATACTGCATTCAGGCTGGGCAGTGGTGGCACATGCCTTTAATCCCAGCAGTTGGGAGGCAGAAGCAGGCGGATCTCTGTGAGTTCGAGGCCAGCCTGGTCTACAGAATGAGTTCTGGGAAAGGCACCAAAACTAAATGGGGAAACCCTGTCTCAAAAAACGAAAACAAACAAACAAAAAAAGATACTGCATTCAGCCAAATACTTTTCCTTCTTAACACTTGGTGTAATTTGTGCATATGCATTTTCTGTGTGTCTGTTTTCCTCACTGGCACATAGACTTCATCAGAATTGGGCCTCATCTACTTTATTCACTAATATTTGTCCAGCCTCTAACAATATCTGCCTGTCAATAGGTTTGCAAAATGTGTTGAATAAATAAATTATGAACAAATTAATGAATGAAAGGAAGTAGCACCTCACAGCCACTTTTAGATAATATTACTAGTTATCAGTGCTCCACACATTAATATCCTTATTTTGGAGGTTGGAAAAGCCACTAGTTGTTTTGACTTGGCCAAGGTACAATTTCCAGGTAGACAGGGGTGATCTCTATATGGGTCTGGAATTCTTGGCCTGTCTGCTTGCCCCTGCTGAGTGTGGTTGGGTGATTGAGCACCTACTCTAATTCTCTTCAGTGAACACACAGAAATTGTTTTTTTTTGC